CCCAGCACTAGGATTACAGGTGTGCATTGCCACACCTGGCTTTTTTACATGGGTACTAAGACTCTGAACTCAGTCCTTATGCTTACGCAGCAAGTGCTTTAACAACTTAGCCATCTCTCCAGGCCCTGCATGCCTATTTATAGCTTTTTTCCCCAACATTTTCTGTGTTTTCATGTGTCTTATGATAATCTGCAATAACTTATTCAGTTTCATGATGGCTGCTTTAAAACCCTGTCAGATCATTCCCACACCCAATTTATTGTCCTTTCTCATGCTTATTTCAGTTGCCCTCGTTCTTGGTTATGACAAGACATGTTTAGGCCAACAATAAAGGTTGTTGCTATTGTCCCAACTACAAAGGTAAATAGCATTGTCACTTCTAACTGCAAGTCCAAAGGGCTCCCTCAGTAATTCACTTGAAGGCCTCCCAGCCTCACCAGAAGCTATTATACTCTTGACTGTGGTCCATATTGAAAGCTTCCACTACTCTCTTCTCTGCAGTCAGAGCTCCTAACATCAATTCCTGATAATACAAAGTATTTCCAATGAAGAACACTTTCTTGAGCTTTAGTGTCAAAGTTTTTGCTGGGGCTCCAGTCATAATTGATCAAACGCCCACACAGTTGATCTCAGCCTCTAGGTCAGCTGACACTGTAACCCCAAATCCCAACCCCAAATGGGTATCGTTGATCTTTCTGGCATTGTCAGTCATCACCCTTAGACTATTTGGTGTGACCCACCCAACCCTAAACAAAGGCATTCCTATGAGGAAGGACATAGGTTACCTTCTAGTTACAGAGGGCAAAGACCAGACCTTCCTGTGGGCAAGGCCAATTTTCTTTTCTACATGGCAAGTGACATTTTAGTTTTGGATATTTTAATATTACAAGATTCTGAGTCTCGTTTAGTAATTTTCATTGGAATCTCCCTATTGAGATAAATCTCAATAGCCATTCGAGCTGGTCATTCAGCTTCACAGACATTTCCATGGCAACAGTGAGGCGCTGACTCTCACACAACCTTGTCACACATGAGTTGGGTGGAAGTTCAGCTCCCTCCCTAACCCTGCCAATACTTTCTCAGGAAAAGCTGGGTCACTGGCTCCTAATGTCTCATCCTCTTCAAGTAGAGGGCATAAGATCAGCTCACCACAGAGCCCCAGAATCACCAGAGGATGAGTGTGTGCGAGCAGCTGAGTGCCAGACAGCAGCCTCACCTCTCATCACATGTTCTGTTTCAAGACGCTGGCTGGGGTAGAAGTTCAGCTTACCTCTGGAGTCACTGATGGGGGGGGTTACAAACATGACACCAGCTTCTGTGTAATAGGAGAGTCATGTTGGAAGCCTCTCATGCAAGCTTCCCTTCTGAAACCACAATTCCTGTGGGGCGCTTAGCCCTGGCTTTTTGATTGGTGTTTGGCTAGAGTAAAGGAAGTACTGCCAAAGAGTCTTATTACCAGGGCTTCTTCGTTCTCAATTTCCCCCCGATTACTCAAGGTTAGCTTTCTTGCCCGACTTCCCCAGAACAGAACTCTATTGCTTTTGCTCCTTTAATTTCTAAGGAAATTAAACCACTCCTTGATTTAATTTCACATGATTGTGAAATGCAGAAACAAGGAGGAATGGACCACTTTTGGATGCCTCTGGAATGATGATCAGAAGACTGGCATTTCAGGAAACATTTTTCCAGTGAGAGCTGTCCAATGTGGTGGCATTTCTGCTGTGAAAATGAGATTTGGCCCTGAGGCTTCACTAGAGCATGGACTGCACTTCAGAATCACCAGAGGGCCTTTTGTATCATCTGCTCAAACCCACACATTGATTTAACTCAGTGTGGCTTGGACGCTGAGATTTTTTTAACTCCCCAGGTGATTCTAACACACAGTTTTAAGGACTAGCAGATACAAATTAGGTGTCTCTGAGCAATATATTGAGCACCTGCTCCAGGCTAAGCCCAAGCCTTGATGCATCACCATTGATGCAGAGTCGGACAAGACATGGCCTCAGTCCTTTCTACCAGAGATGGGAAGATGACCAAAGCCAAGGCAAGACATATCCAAGGTCACAGCAATGTAAAGGGATACAAGAGAGGAAGCTTCCTGCCTGGGCAAGCCAGGAAGCACAGTCTGGGGAACAAACAGGTGAAGGACACGTGGAGCTGGGATGGTAGTGAAGGATGACCTGACTCTGAGGAACAGCATGATGGTCACCTGGCAATGTCAGATTGTCCCGTGAATGTCAAGTAAAGTCTTCATTTGATTGTAAACATTGATAGCACATTACATGCACTGTTCTGAACAATTGTTTGATATGTCTATTAGAATCATTTGGAGAACTTTTCAAACACCAATTCCTTGTTTCCCAGACCTAGTAAGTCACAGCCTGGGCAGAAAAGGAAGTCCATTTGGGTTTGGGTTCTGTTCTTGTTTTTGGTACTACCTCCTTAGCTGATTTACACTCCCCTGTTCCCCATTTAAATAAGCAGAGGGAGGCTGATTTGCTGATTTGTGGTTTAAATATTTCCACCATGGCTATTAATGGTTTATTCCTGAATGTGCAACTGTCAGCTCTCGCCAACCATCAAGAGAGGCTCCATAGGGCTGGAAAGATGGCTCAGTGGTTAAGAGCACTGGCTGTTCTTGCAAAGGACCTGAGTTTGGTTCCCAGCACCCACATGGCAGCTAACAACTGTCTGTAACTAACTCCAGTTCTAGGGGATCTGATGCCTTCTTCTGACTTCTGTGGGCATTGCATGATATGGTACACTTACATATATACAGGGAATGCACATAAAATATTTTTAAAAAGCTGAATGTGGTGGCACATGCCTTTAGTCCCAGCACTCAAGAAGCAGAGGCAGGTGGATCTCTGTGAGTTCAAGGCCAGCCTGGTCTACATAGTGAGTTCAGGTCAGCTGGGACTACAGGGAGAGCCTGTCTCAGAAAGACAAAAAATTTTTTTTTTAAAGAACAGTTCTGGAGAGATGGCTCAGTGGTTAAGAACACTGGCTGTTCTTGCAGAAGAACTGGGTTTGAATCCCAGCACCCATATGGCAGCTAACAACTGTCTGTAACTCCAGTGCCAGGGGATCTGACAGCCTCTTCTGACCTCTGCAGGCAATGCATGGCACAGGTGCACTTACCTACACACAGGCAATGCACACATATACATTAAAAAAAAAACAGTTCCAGCATGTGACAGACCAGATCTCTACATTTACTTCCCCACTGGTTAAGGGTAATCATTACATTTCAGGAGAAAACATCCACCAAACATAAGTCTTTCTTTTTTAATAAGGTGGGGAGGTATGTTCACATGAGTACAGGTGCCGTTGGAGGCCGTGCTGGATAGCTTTAATGTCAACTTGACTCACCTGGGTTAAGGGAGCCTCAGCTGGGGAACTGCCTTCATTGGACTTGCCTGTGGCCATGTCTGTGGGGCATCTTCTTGATTGTTGTGTGGGAGGGCCCAGCCCACTGTGGGTGGTGCCACCCCTGGGCAGATGGGCATGTGTTGCATAAGAAAGCAGGCTGAGCACAGGCAAGGGGAGCAAGCCAGTAAGCAGTGTTCCTCCATGGCCTGTGCTCTAGCTCCTGCCTCCAGGTTCCCGCCCTGAGTTCCTACCTTGGGCTCCCTGATGAACTGTAACCTGGGAGATGTAAGCCAAATAAACCTTTTCCTCCCCAAGCTGGTATTGGTCAGTGTTTTGTCATAGCAATGAAGAAACAGACTAGGACAGAGGCCCAATATGGGTGCTGGGAACTGAACACAGATCTTCTGCAAGAGCAATATGTTCTCTGAACTGGTGAGTCATTTCTCCAGCCCCTAAACAAAAATTCTTAATGACTTGTAATTAAGTTGACATTTTTTAAAAATTTACTATTTTATGTGTATTGAGTGTAATGCCTGCATATAGGTGGGTGCACAGGGGTTATGCAATGTCCATGGAGGTCAGAAGAGGGCTTCAAATCTCCTGGAACTGGAGTTACAGATGGCTGTTAGCTGCCATGTGGGTGCTGGAAATCAAACCTGGGTCCTCTGCAAGAGCAGCCAGAGCTCTTAACCACTGAGCCATCTCTCCAGCCCTGATTTCTTAAAAACACCTTTTATAAGCTGGGCATGGTGGTGCACATCTTTAATCCCAGAATGGCAGAGAGGCACCTGAGTTTGATGCCAGCCTGTTCTATATAGTGAGTTTCAAGCCAGGCAGATATACATAGTGAGACCCTGTTCTTGGGGGTGGGGGGAACAAACAGCAACAAAAACCCAAATAACACTCGGATGCTTGGTATTATTTGGTGAGAGAGCAGGCAGCCTGGACAGCCAGCGAGGTTTCTTGCCATGTCTAAGCAGTAGGACTTCACCACTTGATGTCACTCTAATATTTGCAAACGACTCTGGAAACCTCATGCAAGATACTGGATACGTGTCTCCTTTGCTAAAACATTGGCATTAACTGTGAAGCTTGAAGATGACTATGAAATTTTATACCATTTTTTCTCATATTTTTAAAGAGAGATTGGCAATTTATCAAAAGGAAGAATCAAAAAGGGCACTTTAGAATCTCAAAACCTTTAGCATTGGATTATTAGGCAGATGAACTTAAATTCTTAACCCCATTAACCCTCCCTGTTTTGGCTTTTCCTCAAGGCCAGAGCAGCTCCAGCTCCACCCCAGAAGCAGTCCCCATCCATCAACTGGAAGTTAATCCCATAATTATAGCCATTCCCCTCTTGGCTTGGGGCTCAAAGAGCAATGTGCAGTGCCAGTAAAATCAGGTTTTGAACCTGGAGAGGTGGAAGCAGGATGTCACATGCTAAGCTCTGAGGTGGTCACCCTAATGAATTGGGGGAAAGATCAGCCATGGGAGTTTCCTTCCTCACTCCCCAACCCCACCTCTCCTCACCCAGCAGAGCCAAAGGTGCCGCTATATTCAAACTCAACTTGTTACCACCTTTCCTATCAGATTAGACCAAGAACTCCAGATGAAACATGACCATCACACATTAAACTTTTATGTGAAATTCTGTAAAGGTATAGAGTGGCCAGGGCGGCGACTCTCCAGCCCTCGCCTATGGGGCCCGCCCCTTAGCACTTGCAGTAGATGGCCGCACAGCCCCGCTCTTCAAACTCTTCCTTGCTGACCCAGAGCTGCTGGAAGGCCTGCAAAGAAGCCAGGATGGAGCCGCCGGTCCACACCGATGTCTTCCTCTCGGGAGCAGCCGCCACTGTGGGGTTGTCCCCGGGACACAGGAGGCTCAGCTCCCTCTGGAAGCGCTCGGGGAAGCCGTCCAGCATGGTACAGCCGCCGCACAGCAGCACGTTGGCAGCCATCTCCTCCTTGAAGCCTGTGTTTTGGCAGCGGCCCAGGCAGGCGGCTGTGAGCTCGGGGAGCCCTGGCTGGGTGCAGCCCACCAGGGAGGGCTGGAAGAGCATCTCGGAGCAGCGGACGCGCTCCTGGCCGATGGTGATGACCTTGCCATCGGGGAGCTCGTAGTCCACGCGCAGCTCCTCCAGGCCCAGAGCGAGCTCCTCCTCCGGCAGCAGTGCCGCATAGCAGCAGTTTTTCTTAATGTGTTCTACGATGTGCAGGTGGTCATCCGAGAACTTGTGGCCCGCCTCATTGAGCAGCTGCAGGAGGTAGTTGGTGAGGTCGCAGCCGGCGTAATCGGCGTGGCTCGGCAGGCCAGGCAGCACATTACCCTCGGAGATGGGTACCACGTGTGAAACGCCGTGCCCGCTCTCCACCACCAGCCCCGAGGTCTTGCCGTATGAGTAGATGGATAGCAACGCCTGGGAGGTCACATGCATGGCGGGAATGCAGAAGGTCTCGAACAGGAGCTCGGCATACTTCTCCCGGTTGCTGATGGGGCTGAGCGGAGGGTCGGAGACCAGCACCGCGTGCTCCTCTGGGAGGATCTTCATGGCCGTGTGGAAGATGTACTCCCAGATGTTCTGGACGCAGTCCCAGTCCACCACGACTCCATGCTTCAGCGGGTTCACCAGCTTCAGGGAAGCCTCCATGTTGAGCAGTTCGTGGCCCACATAGGTCTCCTTGAACGTGTCTCCGGTGTCCGCGGCCATCTCCGCACTGCGCTTGCCCACAGTGGAGGAGATAAAGTAGGTAGGCCTCGGCTCTCCGGCGTAGCCGCACTTGCAGTACTGGGAGCCCAGGTCAATGACCAGCGCCTTGATCTTACGTACTTTTTTAGGCTTCGCCTTCAGTTGAGTGGTGGAACCTGTGTCCTGGATGCCAGCCTCAGGACCTGGCAGTGTGCCCGCCTCTCCAGGGTCATCCTGAGCTGTGCCCATGGGCATGGGACTAGGGCTCTTTGTCGCCATCTGCCTTCCTTCACCTTACATCCACATCCCAGAGCTCCTAGGGAGAAATGAAAGCCCACCTCCAGCGGTCCCTTGGCAACCGCTTAGGGCTGTGATGTCACCAGGACTGGTCCATTCAAACGATAAGAAGGGGGAGAGGGCTTGGTCCCCACTCCCCAACCAGGTAATTGTTTGCTTCGGGGCCAGAGCAAGTGACCCCCAGTTTTGGAACCCAAACATACTGAGCTGGGAGTTTCTGCTCCCTCTCCTTACATCCCCTGGCCTAACTATTCCCAGTCACTCACTGCACACCTTTCATTTTCCTGTCCTTGGCAGTGATTAATTTGTGTCCCTACCCTACAGTAAGTCAAGCACCGAACCAGGTACATCATGTATGGTATTTTGCAGAATCCCAGAGGCTAAGCAAGAACTCAGTAGCAGTTCAGAATTCACTTGAGTGCCCAAGAGCAAACAGCTTGTGGTTGTACTTTAACGGAAGTTCATCCAACACAAGGCCTACCTAAATAAAGGCCTTGAAGGCCTCAAAAGTACCTTCCTCCCAATGGCTGCTTTCATTAAAATCACAAAGCTCATGAACTTTTCCCCTTCCATACCACTAGGCCCAAAGCATTCCGTAATAACGCTGCCATCCTTCAGCCCATTTCTACTCACATCTAACGCCAGGAGGATCTACAGCTACCTTCTTGAAGGAACCCACCACTGTAGTGACTGTCATTTACAAAGCACACACAGCTGAGGGCAAGGTCTAAGATTGGATTTGGGGTGGCCTAAGTGTGGCAGATATTGGCACCAGTGTGTCAGGCTGAAGAGATCACCAAGGAGCCAAATGTTAGGTGTCCAGGTGTGACCAGAATATGTACCAGGGAGGAGCCTTGGCTACTCTGGCCAACAATCTTTGGGGAAGCTATGCACCCGAGTTTTACTACTGAATCTCACTAGTGGGACTTAATAGGGTCTAATTCCACTGCTATGAATGAAGTACAAATATATGCCTCAAAATTATTCCTCTAAGGTCACCTAAGTGTCATAGAAAAGTGAGACAGAAAAGCTTGGAAATCACCACAGCAGCAGTGATCCTGTTAAAAACTAAGTCAGATGGGGACAACCTGTTCAAAATTCTCTAGTGCTTTCTAGCCCTGCATACCCAGAGCCAGAGGCCCTAGGCCCATGGGTCCGCCTCGGCACACCTCCTATGCCCCAGTCTTATTTCTCACATCCCATTTATTTTTCCAGGCTCTTTCCACTGGCCACATTGGTCTTCTGTGGAATCTCACTTGGGGTCAGCACACGTCTGTAAGAAGCCAGTCCTATCTGTTTGCTTTTCCGAATTTTTGCTGCGCTGACTCAGCCTTACTGTGCACTGCAACATGTAAGTGAACAAGCATGGCTGGAGTTATTCTACCACAGGCCAGAGTCTGGCTGCATTCTGATGGCCCCTGCTGTAACTCACCAGCTATGTGACTTAGTCCTCTGTGCCTGTTGTTCCCTCCACACACACCTAGCTCTCTCACCTCCTCCAGGTCTTTACATAACTGCTCCCAGCTTTGGGAACCCTGCCTAGGCCACATCAGCAACGCCACCCTGCCAATCTTGTCTCTGCTCTTTAAACACTTTCTAAACCACATCTTTTGTTCAACACGCGTTTTGTGCCGTCCCCCAATGCCATGCCCATCAACCAAAATATAAACCAGATAAGGACAGAGTATTGTCCTTTTCCCTATGGTATTCCCAGCTGCCCAGCACATCACAGGCACTCAACAAGTACTGATTGAATAAGTCAAGGTTATCACAAAATTTAGGGGGTATTAATAAAGGAGCCATTTCAAAAATAATATCCCAAGTATACCCTAACACAGGACGTAAGTTCCCAATATCCAGGAACCCCTGGTCACTGGATTATGTCACAATTGGTGATGTCATCACTGGGCAAATTCTCAAGCTGTCCACTGATTTAGGCCTTTCAGGCCTTGTAGCCAGCAGGACTGGGAACTTCCTGAGAGCAGCATGGCTCTGGACAGCATGTGGGCTCCACAGGCAGCAGACATAGGAGATGGGCCTGCCAAGAAAGCCAATGACCAGGCTTCCCTGCAGACACAGGCCCTCCAGACTGCCTCCCTAAAGGATGGCCCTGCAAAGCGGGCACTGTGGGTCCGCCGAGACACTACCAAGTCAGAAAAGTCTGTGAAATCAAGCGAGTCAAAGGTCAGGTCCAAGCTGAAGGTGACCAAAGCAGTGGTTGTGGACCTTGGCACTGGCTTCTGTAAATGTGGTTTTGCTGGCCTGCCAAAGCCCACCCACAAGATCTCAACAATAGTGGGTAAGCCCTACATGGAGACAGCCAAGACCGGGGATAATCGCAAAGAGACATTCGTGGGGTATGAGCTCCTCAACCCAGAGATTCATCTCAAGCTTGTCAACCCCCTGCGACATGGCATCATTGTAGACTGGGATACAGTGCAGGATATCTGGGAGTACCTCTTCCGACAGGAGATGAAGATTGCCCCAGAGGAGCATGCAGTCTTGGTTTCAGACCCACCTCTGAGCCCACACACCAACAGGGAAAAGTACGCCGAGATGCTGTTTGAAACCTTCAACACCCCAGCGATGCATATAGCCTATCAGTCCCGTCTGTCTATGTACTCTTATGGGCGGACCTCCGGCCTGGTGGTGGAGGTTGGCCATGGTGTGTCCTATGTGGTCCCCATCTACGAGGGTTATCCTTTGCCTAGCATCACGGGGAGGCTGGACTATGCAGGCTCTGACCTGACAGCCTACTTAATGAGCCTGATGAACAGCTCAGGGAAATATCTCACGGAGGACCAGATCAACATTGTGGAGGACATCAAGACGAAATGCTGCTTCGTAGCCCTGGACCCCATTGAAGAGAAGAAAGTCTCTCACTTTGAACATGAGATCCAGTACATTCTGCCTGATGGGAAAGAGATCCTCCTGGGCCAAGAAAGGTTCCTCTGCTCAGAGATGTTCTTCAAGCCGTCTCTGATCAAGTCCATGCAGCTGGGTCTCCACACCCAGACCATGTCCTGCCTCAACAAGTGTGACATCGCACTCAAACGAGACCTCATGGGGAATATCCTGCTCTGTGGGGGCAGTACTATGCTCAGGGGTTTCCCTAACCGTCTGCAGAAGGAACTGAGCAGCATGTGTCCCAACGACACTCCACAGGTAAACGTGCTGCCCGAGAGAGACACCACAGTGTGGACTGGTGGCTCTATCCTGGCCTCACTTCAGGGCTTCCAACCACTGTGGGTCCACCGCTTTGAGTATGAGGAACACGGGCCTTTCTTCCTCTACAGAAAGTGCTTCTGAACTGAAGAGGCACAGTCACTGTGGTGGCAATAAGTCAGCTTTGCTGGGCAAGTGCCCATCTTACACACATGGCATGTCCATTCTTGTAGCATTAAACACCCTCATGTCCCCTTCAGTGTGTTTATTTCCTGACAAAGAGCCACAGGGATGCAGCATCTCCTAAAATGATACATTTGCCCAAACAAAAGTGAGGGTGTGCAGGGGGGGATACAGAGAAACAGACATGCACTATGTTGACTGCTCTAATGCTTTTTGGGGGAAGAAACTAGCTCTAATGTTATTCTGCTTCCCACTTTAGGAACTACTGTTGTTAAAACTGGCTTGGAAGGGAAAGTACAATAAGATTAGGGTAAAAGCTATTGGCTGACACAAGAAGCCCCCTTTCCATAAGCCCTCACACAATAATGCTGAGTCCAACCTCCCACAAAGCAGCAGCGTACGTCACTTTGCAGCAAACTCTGAAGGCTTAGAGATTGCTGCTGATCATAATCTGGCCTATTTTAACTATACCTTTGATTCCCAGTTACCTATGTCTCATTACCTGTTTATATTAAGCAATTTCGATGACTGGCACTGAAGATGTAGCATATTATGAGCAAAGTACATGTTTGCATCCTAGGAGGGTGGCTCCTAAGAGAACGAGGGCTATAGGGATTCCCCCTTTTAATAACAGGTAAGATTTCTCTGGTTATCAGTACTGAGGTCAAGGATGAGAGCCACATCATCCTCGAGGTACTTCAAGTAACTGTCCATTTCCTGACTGGGGACTCCATTGACCTACGGAATATACAGTTGGGAGTTTGGAGTGGGCCAGAGTGGAGGCTGATGACTTGGGTTTGTGGGAGGGCTACCCTAGGCTGGGCATCTGAATCCAGCTGAGGAACCGAAAGGAATATATAACCTTCAGGATCCAGGAAAGCTCTTCAGGGCCCATAAATTATCTGATATTCCTGTAAGGAGTATGTAATTGGGAGCACAGCAAATCAGAAAAGCTTTACATAGTCTCCAATGCATTCTTTGGTCTTTAAGATTCAGAATCTAAACAACACTGACAGGATAAAACAGTGAAAAGAATGTGGGCTTCACTTGTGGATCGAAACTGAGTTTACCTATAAAACTGAGTGTGGCCGGGCGTGGTGGCACATGCCTTTAATCCCAGCACTTGGGAGGCAGAGGCAGGTGGATCTTTGTGAGTTCGAGGCCAGCCTGGTCTACATAGTGAGTTCCAGGACAGCTGGGGCTACAAAGAGATCCTGTGGCAAAAGACAAAACAAAACAAAACAAACTGAGTATGAATGCCTACTTTATAGCTGATGTAAAACAGATACAATTTAGGGGAAAATATGTATTTTTTAAGACTCAAGAGAGGCTTTCTGCAAACTAAGCACTCATCGCTCACAGATCTTCCTTTTCCCATACCCCATGAGTTCTTGACTTAGCCTTCAAATCGGAAGGTCTGCCCCTGCCTCCTACTTCCCAAAATTGGCAAAAACTTGATCCTGCTCAGATGAGAGACAGTAATTAACACAAATTTAATTCTTGCTGTTGTAACATTATTTCACACCACTGCCAACACACATTTACTTCTATTTCCAGTCCATCAGCATGGATCCCTTTACTGTTATACAGAGCAAGAGCACTCCAGTATAATAAAATGGCACTGCTACCATGCTCACAGATCCATGAAAGTAGTCACAAAGCACTTACAGCCTTTCGAAGGTATGTATTCAATTGTAGCAAACCCATGATGTGTGAGTCAAAAAGCAAATTGCTCAAAAGTTTGGTTCACTGTCTTCTCTTATTTTGTAAAAACTTTCAAATACAGAGAAAAGTCGATACAGCAAATACCCCTTTAGTTAACTGTACCTAAGGATTAGCCATAAAACTATTTTTTGGGGGGGGGGCCATTTTCTTCAATGGCATACCCAGTAAAGTTGCTCACACTCCAGTAAATAACCTCCCACCTGTGCTCATGCAAGCAACTCTTAAGTCAGTGGTCACATGCACGAGAAGACGTGAAAGTAAGAGGGGACTTCCTGGGAAGGATTTCAGTGGAAGAGGGAGGTGGGTGAGGGAGGGTGGTAAGAATGAAAACAACTAAATTCATTATATAGATGTATGAAACTGTCAAAGAATAAAAACAAAAATCTTATCAAAATAAACTGAGCTATTTCCAGACTTGCCAAAAAGAGAAAATAGGCTAATATTTTCCAAAGAAAATAAACTAAAAGCTCTTTTGGAAACTCACTGAGGCAGAGGTCAGTTAAGTACCAAACAGAAAGCTAAAAAAAAAAAAATGGCCTAGAACTGGGAGTGGTGGCTGCCTTTAGTCCCTCACAAAGGCAGATCTTTGTGCGATCATGGCTAGCCTGGTCTACATAGTGAGTTCCAAGGCAGCTTGCGGGTACAGGGGGACCCTGTTTCAAACATGTCAAAAATAAAGTAAGATTGCCTAAACACTGACAAAAACATTTCAGTTTAAAGCAGTGTTAGGAAAATGTGGTAATCTCCAACCACGCATGCCACGTAAAGTGCACGACACTGTCAGAAATGCTAATCCATCCCACCTCCCCAGCAGAATATACAGGGACAATAAAACAATCCCTTCAACAGTGTAGCTCCTGGAGGCTCAGCCTGATTAATACAGACAGCACATGACCTGGCAAGATGACATTTTTATTCTGTATTAGTTTCAGGTGAAAAGATGCCAGGTTAAGGAATCACCTCTGAGGAAACGTTGGCAGCACTAAGCTGTTTTCAAACAATGCACTCTACTAGCAATGCAACAACTTACAAACCTGAGTCCACTTGCTTATTTTTCTGAGGTAGAAGCCGTGAAACATTTCTTATGAACAGGAAGTGAATCAATGACAAGATTTGTCCAAGGTTGCAACATCAATCAGACCCGTAGCTGAGAATGAGACTTCATCTTGTGATCAGCATAAACAATCATACCTCAAACAGCACAAAATACAAAACAGTACGGGCTCTCTGTGTTTTAGGCGTAACCCAGGCTGGCCTGGAACTCAGTGTAGACCAAGCTGAACTTGTAGCAATCCTTCTGCCTCAGCCTCTGAGTTGCTGGGATTATTGGCATGCCCCACTACGCCCAGCTAAAAACAGCAATTCTTTTAAACTGTGATATTTTGGCTAAAACAGACCTATTAGTGATCATGATGTATTCAAAGCAAAAGCAAAAGCAAAACTGCCTGGTGCCAGCTGAAGTCTGGTGCTCACAGCAGCTGTTTGTTGGCAAGGCTGCAGCAGACCATCCCCGCTCTCAATGGCCAGGCCTCAAGTAGCAAGGGTAGAAGGACAATGAGGAGTGAGTGGCAAACGGTGGTCTCTGTGGAGCTGTCCTACCAAGCTGGTCATTCTAGCAGGCTCAGTTTCCACTGGTTTCTCTTGTGCATCTTTGGTGGTATAAAAATCTCAGCATCTGTAAGAAAGGGAGGGAAGTGGTGACAGGCACTCTCTCACTTTTCTTGCTGACCAGAGGCTAAGCAGGAACTCTGTGCTAAACAAATGAAATGACCAGGTGTTGCAGCAACAAGAAAAACAATGATCACAGTCTGAGTTAGTATGTCTGCCACTCCCTTTTCCTCTGGATCACAGCAAATGCAGCCTAGAGGCCCTGCCCTGAACTTCAGGCATGCTCACTATGGTGGTTTGAATGAAAATGTCCCCCATAAGCTCCAAGTATTTGGACATTTAACAGCCCAGATGGTGGTGCTGCTTTGGGAGGTCTTAGAAGGTGTGGCTATCTTGGAGGAAGCATGTCACTGGAGGTGGTCTTAGAGAGTTCTTAAGCCTTGCCAGATCTCCAGTTGCTCTCTTGCTTCCTGTGCCTGCTTGAAGATGTACAGCTTAGTTTCTACTCCTCCTCGCACTTCTGCCGCCATGCCTCCCTGCCAAGACAGACTGTAATTCCCCTGGAACTGTAAGCTCAAATAAACTCTTCCTTCTATAAATTGCTTTGGTCAGTGTTTCTATCACAGCAGCAGAAAAGTGACTAATACACTCACCAAGTGATTCAGAGCACAAGAAGTTCAGTATTTGAATTGGAAAGGGTAGTTCCCAAACTCACAGCAGTATACATTTATTAAAAATCACCAACTGTTGGGAATAGAGAAATGGTTCAGTGGTTAAGAGCACTGGATGCTTATCCAGTGGACTGGGTTTGGTTCCCATTAAAAAGGAAAAAAAAAAAAAATTACCCAACTGTATGCCTAAGATGTATGCATTTTACTATGTGCAAAATTTTTCTCAACTTTTTCATTATTTAAAAATTTTATTTATTTCATATGCATGAGTATTTTGCCTACATGTATGTATGTAGACATGTGTGTATGTAGGTATACCTACATGTGTGCAATGACCAAGAAGGCCAGAAAGAGGGTGTGACATCCCCTGGAACTGGAGTTACAAAGGTTGCTAGCTGCTATGTAGGTGCTGCAAACTGAACTTGGGTCCTCTGCAGGACAGGACAGTGCTCTTAACTACTGAGTCATCTCTCCAGCCCCTAACTTTAGGAGTCTCTTATATAACTAGGAATCATATAGAGGAAGCAGAGGTATGAAAGAAATATGTATACATAGGGATTTTTTGTCAGTAATATTTTTAACATCAAATTTCCAGCAATGCATCTCCCATGTATTATTAAAAATTATTTTCACAGAATACCTAACAATGTGATTTTATATTTTACACACACACAAATTGTCAGATTTTAACTTTTGTTTTTTCTTTTAGACATGGTCTTATCACTATGTAGCCCAGGCTGACCTTGAACTTTCTCCTCCTGCCTTCGCCTCCTGAGTTCTGGGGTTACAGGTCTTATGTCACCATGCCCAGATTTTTAATTTTTTTCAATATACTTTGTAATCCAGATTTTCTCTACTGACCGTAACAATTTATAATTACCCATTCACCTGTAGCTTTCCACTCCCATGCCGCAAAAAAAAAACTCCTCCAAACAAACTATATACACAAAAGTCCACCAGAAGTTTTAGTTAATAAAAGCATTGATACTAAAAAAAAAAAAAGGCTAAAACATGGCCCACAATTTCACAGTGATTAAAGTTTAAATGAGAATGTCTTTTTTTATTATTTTTATTTTATGTGTATGAGTGTATTGCCTGCATGTATGTGAGTGTACCCGCATCATGCAATGCTGTGGAGGTCAGAAGAGGGCTTCAGATTCCCCTGTAACTGGAATTAAGAATGATTCGTAGCTGCCATGTGGGTGCTGGGAATCAAACCCGGTCCCTCTGTAAGACCAGTCAGTGCCCTTAACCGCTGAGCCATCTCTCCAGCCCCATGAGACCTTGTCTTTTTAAAAAGTTACTGAGATGCTCTATTTCCTTTTCAAAATGATGAGTATATTTGATTCTAGACTTAACTATATATGAAATATTGACCTTGGGCAGGAAAATCATGACTTGGGCAAACTATGACAGCAGGCAGTAACATGTTTCATATTTTCATGCTTTCATGTAATAAAAACTCATTTTTATAAAAATACTTGGAAGACTCTTCAGCTGAGGGTCTCAGCTCTTTTAATAGTTAAATCCTTCCCTGCTAAGCACTTAGCAATTATAACAAACCCAATTCAGCTAAGATTCTAGCACTTTCCTAAGATCACTTTAATCTGTTTCATGAACTCCTAAGGTTTGAAAGACTTGCAATCAATCTGCCTGAGACTGTATAGCACCAAGCATGAAACCACAGAAAGTGACCCTCAAGCCCTCATGAGGATATGTGAGCACACCCACACCACTGGAAGCTGGGGAAGGGCAATGACTGAGCAGGACTCATTTTGTGACTTAATCAATGCAATGCCTACTTTTGAATTATGAGACTCACCCTTTTCCTATTGTTACGATTTGAATGTGAAACATGGCCACCCTCCCCTACCCCCGCTCCAGCATAAGTGACTGAACAGTTGATGCCCAGCTGGTGGCATTGTCTTGGGAGGTGGTAGAACCTTTCAGGCATGGAGCATAGCAGACATATGAGTAGGTTCAAGCACGGCTTTTGAGTGAGACCCCTGCCTGGTTTGGGCCTGACCTCTCTGCTTCCTGAATGGTACCATGTCACACAATTCTGCCATAGCAGCAAGCTGCTCCAGTGACCATGCCCTCCATGCCATGATAGGTAGTTCTGTCACAGGACAGAAATGTAATTATCATTTGACTTTGTGATCATGGGGCATTGACAGTGCTCAGATGAGGAAACTTCAAATACTTCAGTCTTTGCAGATAGTCAGAGGTAGACATGCTCTCTGATATGGCAAGCCTTTATGAAAACTCAGAAAAAGGAGTAACTGCACCTGTCCAGAACAGGGTCAGGGACTGGACAACAGAACTAAGGAACCAGTCAAATGGCCTTAGGTCAAAGATGATTTTTTTTTTGTCTTTTTGAGACAGGGTTTTCCTTGTAGCCCCAGTTGTCCTGGAACTCACTATGTAGGCCAGGCTGTCCTCGAACTCACAGAGATCTGCCTGCCTCTGCCTCCCAAGTGCTGGGATTAAAGGCCGTGTCTGTGTTGAAACTGACATTAAAATTCACTTGCCACAATCCAGGAGAAGAGCACAGCCATAGAAACTGGGGTAGATGTGTGAGCTTCCCTGAGATGGAAACAACACAAGCTGTTATGTCAATCCCCAAAGGCTACTGCAAATGTATGTTTTTATATGAAATTAGTAATGCACAGCTCTTATATGATGAAAAAACCTCAGAACATGGCAAATAGTAAGTTTTAAAAGGCACTTATTTTAGAACTTATTACCAATTTTTTAGAGCCCAGAGATGTTGGTGCCTAGAGTGATCTACTTGAAGTGCAGATACTTATGTGCCAAATGCATGTCAACAAAATTTCAAGCCAACTTTCAAACTTTTAGGAATTTAGATGATTCTCTTACTAAGAACCATCACCCCCTAATAAACAATAGCAACAACAACAACATTTCAGGTATAATTAAATAGGAAATATAAACAAATGCTAGTACTTAGATAGGCCTTTATGTGTTATACTATCAGTTCTAAGGGTGATACAAAGGTCCAGCTCATAAGCAAGGACATTGAGAAATATTCTGAAGATATAAAGGGAATTGCCAAAAGTTGCAACTCAGAAGCCATCCAATAGGACGTAAGCATGGACTGTTTGGGCTCAAACTGCACAGCTGTGAAGTGTATGACAAGGGCATGCAAGTGTAACTGCATTTTTCTAAAGCAAAGCTTGATTTCATTAAGAAAAAGTTTAGTTTTTAAAAATTTTAATAATGTGTATGTGGGGGGGGGTGGTATGTGCATGTGAGTGCAGGTGCCTGTGGAAGCTGGAAGAGGGCATCAGATCCCCCTGGAAGTGGAGTTACATGCAGTTCTGAACTGCCTGAGGGGGGTGCTGGGAATTCAGCACTCACTCCTCAGCTCTGGGCCCATCTTTCCATCTCAAAAAAGGTGTTAATTCAAACCGAAGCACAGGCATGATATGAGGGAGAGACATGCAAGTACATGCCCTAGAGTGGGCACATGCTTCTCAAGAGTTGCTATTTTTTTTTTCTTTTTGAGACAGGGTCTCCCTGTAGCCCCAGCTAGCCTGAAACTTACTATGTAGACCAAGCTTGCCTTAAACTCACAGAGATCCTCCTGCCTCTCCTCCCCAACACTGGAATTAAAGGTAGGCGCCACCACACCTGGCCTAAGAGTTGCTAATTTTTTTTTTAATTAAAAATTTAATGCCATGCTGTATCCCTCTCCGCAGGCCACCACCATTAGAAACATTAAATTCATCTACTTAAGATGTAGTCTAAGAATTAAGAGGGAATCACTGTTAATACCCAATCTCTCCCTTATACTTGCTGACCTTCCCAAAACCTATATCCTGACCTGCTCAGAACTGAGATAATCTGTAGAGAAGAGATACTAACCAGAAACAGGAACCAAAGTCTTCTGCTGTTGGTAAGAGGCCATGATACTGTTCGCAGTAGAACTGGGACCTAGGACCTAAGTAGAAAACAGGCTACATCAACAAAACTTATCCTACATTTCTGATAAAAACCAAAGGCCTCTACTAGCAGTAAACAAGCTTACTGTTTTTATTAGTATGGTACTAGCACAGTAATTCTTTTTCTGTGTCATTTTAATGCCAGCTTCTCCAGTCTCCTTTCTCCCAGAAAAACAGGATAACAGAGGAGGAGTGGGGGACTCTACAATAATATCTGCCTGGCCTTTTCCAAATGAGTTAGCCATACCAAAGGGGAGGGGAAAATACTAGAGCCTAAAGAATACACAAAGGATCCACTCCACTCAAGGTTGTGGGAAACACTTGTTTTAATATTAAAAGGAATACAAATAAATAAATGTATGAGTGGAATGCCAACTCTGCACAGGACTTCAGCAGGGTTCATCCCTCAGCAAGCTGCTGGGCAGACACCAACTCTCTGGTTTGCCCACACTCATCTCTGCATGCAGTCCCCATGCAGAACCTCTCAGCAGTAAAGCCATGAGCTCAAAAGCACTTGCTAAACACAGCCCATGTCCACACTCTACCAACCAAAACACATTCACATATTTCCTGGGCATTTTCTTTATAAAATTCAGAAAGCTGGTGCCTTATAAGTTAATGTGATCTGAATAGGAGAGGGGAGGCATTCTAAATCAAACCACTGTTTTGAAGATGATTGTATTTCTAGGCAATTCCTTTTACAGTAAATTCATGCACTTGGGGCATCTTGATTATTAGCTGCTTTTCTTGCTATGGTCTGTAAAGTGTTTCTGTATCCACCCTCTTATCTAACAGTCAAAACATCTAGTGAAACACCAGGAAAGCCCCAGGAACAAAGGCAATCCAGACTCAGGAAACCAACATGTTTGTAGCCAGTGAGATGATTACAACCTCCTGTCTCTAAACATCAAATCCTTGCTGGTCACTGCTTGTGCTGCCTGGGCTGGGGGTCTGAAAGAACACTTCTGTTCATCAGCTGGTTTCCTGCTGCACTACACCAGTAAGACTCAGCAGAGGGAGAGTGCAAAGAAGCCAGAGAATAAAGCAACTTGCTTGCTTTCAATAACTGCTAATTCCAGTTTCTATTTCTATCTGTACAGTTAGAACTAGCTTCATCAGGAGCTCCACCCGTGAAATATCAGGGCCAGCTAGCTAGCACCTTCTCCTCAGGGCTTCAAAACCATGGGCCTCTGAAATATAGCAATCCCCGAGCTTTTCCCTTTGTCCCCTCAGCAGCAGATAAAGCTGCTTCTTAATTACTCTCTTTATCCTTCTAGCCCTCCTGTGTTTCCCTTTGTCCTTTTCAGTTCCCCAGTGTTTACTTAACCAATCACGTAACTTTTGCGGGGGGGGGGGGCTTTTTGAAACAGGGTCTTCCTGTAGCTCCAGCTGGACTGGAACTCACTACATAGACCAAGCTGACCTTGAACTAACAAAGATCCACCTGCCTCTGCCTCCCAAGCGCTGGGATTAAAGGCATGTGCCACCATGCCTGGCACCAATCAGTATTACACTCTTTGTGGGAAAATAACAGGAATGAATTTTGTTTTCCTTACTGAACTCTGACACACCAGCCTTTCTGAATCATAATCAAAACTCTCCACAATAGACTTGAAGCTCAGAAAGCAAGTAATAATAAACAGACAATATTCATGAGAATTCTTCATAGGGCACAGGGCTAACGCTGACTCAGTCCCCTCCAGGATTTCTGATGTGGGAGGTGAGAGGTCAACTCTGATCTTAGCTTCCCCTCCCTACTCCATCCTCCACAATCACTGGAGACTTTTCTATCTTCCCTGTGACAGCTGTTCCATCTGGAAAGGAGAAATAATAACCCACTTAACCTTGGAACTAAACAGGCAAATATAAATTCTTACTGAAAGCTTAAGCACAAAGCTAAGGGAATTTAACTCAGCTGTTTTTGGAAAGGATTTTCTTTGGCTTTGGGGTTGCGTGAATAACCGTGAAAAAGATGAGACACTGCACACCATCTCTGAGAAAACTTACAGGTGTGGTTGAACTCTGCTGGCAGGCAAGAGTCCAGATTTCCGGAAGAGCCCTTTCCATCAGCTGCAGAGTACTCTCAAAAGCCTTCTGCAATTCCTTCCCTTGCTCTTCAAACTCAAAGAGAAAGAGTACCTTTAAAACACTGTGCACTTCATCTAGAGAGAAGAAATGTGAGACTGGTAAGTTGTGTCCCCAGCTCTACTGCTAAGAACCATGCAGTAATTTCCTTCCAAAGTTGAAAAATGCTATACCACCCTACAGATGTGTGCTACACTTTCTTCTGTCCCCACTCTTCCCAAATGGTGGAGTAATTCTGTGCATCAGAAGGAAGAACAAGGTGGGAACAAACAGGATGCAGAGCTGCACAATCTTTTCTTCTGGCTGAGTACTAATCTCTACCATTCAATTAAGTCAATGTTATAGGCCAAGAGGGGCAGATTCAGGAATGTGCAGAGGTGACCCTGCTGAAATTTTTCTTCCTTTTAATTGGGAAAACTACACGTCTTTTAAAAAAAATTACATTTCACTCTGTGTGTGTGTGTGTATGTATGTATGTATGTATGTATGTATGTGTGTGTGTGTGTGTGTATATACATCAAGTGTGTGGAAATCAGAGGGGAGGTTGTTCTCTCTTTCCACGTGGGCCCTGGGGATGAAACACAGGTCAGTCATCAGGCTTGCTGACGAGCAACCTAACTCACTGAGTCATCCCAACACCCTCAAATTACATCACAATTTATCTACTGAGCATGCCTATCTACAGTAACCACTTACTACTTTCTGTGGTCAAGAATCAGGGTGGGCCTGGAGATCATACCTTTTAATTTGTCAACACTTTGCACCACTTCACTCAGGGCCTCCAAAAGAGCCAGATCCTCCAGAGGACTCCCTTCTTTGAGGCTATGCTTCTTCCGCTCTGCTTTGCGGCGGTTTTTAGATGATCTCCTGTCAGATATTAGAGAGGTTTAAAAGCAGGTTCTCCCTGGGCTGAAGGGAGTAAACTGAACAGACCTGTCGGGCTCCACTTTCTAGGAAAGGAGAGTGTTTATACGTAGCATTTGTATTTGAGGAGAAACTGATAATGAGGTGCTAAAGCCACACATAATATACATACTGGCAAGCTGTTGGTCAGTCTTACAAGAAGGAAATAAGGAAAATCCTGAAGTGCTTTTCCCTTAAGTTTTTATTATTTCCTAGAGTAAAAAGCGGTTCTATCTGGTAGCCTACTGGAACAATAAACAAGAATAAACAACTTGAATTCTACAGTAACAGGAAAAGTAACTAGAAAAGTCCTTGCATAACTTACACTTGGCTTTGAAGGATATCCTCCCCATGCCCACTGTACTGTCCCAGTAGAAAACCAATATATTTGTGGTTCCCCTCTGTTTCTGGCACAATATGACTAGACCTGATACGTACGCTGATATCCTGGAGCTACTGTGGGAATATCTGCTGCTCATCTCACTGCCACTCACAACACTGCTGGTTTCAGAGAAGAGGTCTGACTCTGGACCATGGGCTGCCTCCTTATCTAGAGGAACCAGATGCAGAGGTACTCAATCAGCACATACTGAAGGATGGATAACATTACAAAGTTGATCTCAAATGAAGCAGGTAATATTAAATGTAGTTATTAGTTATTAATGCAAATCTGTACTTTACCAAATGTATTTTTTTCTTTCTTTTTGGGTGGGGAGGGACTAGGAAACTCATTTAATGAAACATAATAATCACTGCTCTGGTTGGATGGTGGCAGAGCTCTTCTGATTTCTGGCACCAACCTTAAGACCTTCTTCAACAGAGAAATAAGACACACATAACTCTTAAGGGATTTCAGACGGTGATGATATAGTAATGAAACGAGTGACACTGCCATGGCTTAGCAGAGTCTGACCCTGCTCTGCAATTCAAGGAGAGGTTTAATCTCAATGAGACAGTGCTGAGGGCAAGAGAAATTAATAATGCTGTTCTTGGTAGTGAGTCTTGGTTCTTGCAATACTGGATTGGTGTAGTAAGACTGGTCTGCTATAAAATGAACCTGGTGTCACCTCTCACTCTTTTATTACACCTGTGTCCCTTTGCACTTGTCAATCTCCTTTTCCGTCACAATGCCCTCATCAAAAGTCAAGCAGATGTTAACACCAAGATGGATGGTATCCTGCTCATCTACCTCCAGAACCATGTGCCAAAACAAACATTTCTTTATAAATTACCTGTCTCAAAAAACAATGCAGGTAAGAAGCTTAGACAATGTGCAACGCCCATTTTTCCTCACTACATCATAAGTATTAATGGGCTTCATGTAGACACTCACCTAGGTTCACCTGTTGTTCTTGCTCCTTGAGCGCTCGAACCACCAGTAAACGGTTTTTATGGCGACTGAATGTGGCTGTCTGAGAGTCCAGAAAGGCTAGGTAATTTTTCTGGGCTGGGGATGCAGAATGAAAAATAATTTGCACATATTTAAGCAAACAGACAAAACTAAGCAAAGGAGGTGCACTGAATGCTTAAAATTCAACAACAAAGAACATATCTAGGTCTACCAAACAATTTTTTCCCTTAATAAACACTAATTAATTGAAAATGGAGATCCCAGACCTCAGAGTTCATCAACACCATCCTAGAATACTCTCTACCACTTACAAATCCATCTCAGTGAAGCTGGTATCTATTCCCAGAGGACAAACAAAACGAGTGCACAGGAAGCTGGTAGCACAAGCAGGTCAGAGCTTCCTAACACATCAAAATGGCCACAGTTTGGAATAAATGCTGATAATGGTATCTGCAGTTACTGTTCAGTGGAAAAACAATAAAAGAACAAATACTAACAGTACAAGAAAAAATAAACACACTGTATTCTCTAAGGACATGGCATTTTAAGTTCTCAGTGGCAGTAAGAACTGTCTAGATGTTACAGGGTCAGAAGGATGCTTTCTATACCCAGTTAGGAATAACTGAAACAAACAGTACAAAAAGTACTCCACCAAGTTCTAATTAGGAAAGGAACAGGGGAAATTAAAATTCTCACCCAGACAGTATTAGAATGTGAATAAATGTGAACGTCAGAAAGGCCATTGTCACTTACTGGATAGACTTGTTTAAAAAGGCAGAGCTTAACATTAAACTTCACTCCCTAGGAGTTCTGTAGGTCACACTGATGTTCTTTTCCATGTTGCTTCTAAGCAGTCCCAGTGACCACCAAAATATTCTGGAACTGTTAACATTCATCTTTCTCTAGGAGCCATATACTTCAGTTGCAAGATTTTTTCTTTTTGGTTTATCTTAAAATTTGCAAGCTTACCTAACAGTTATAATACTTCAAAGAACACAAAGAACATACAGACTTCACCTAGATTTACCAATAATTAACATTTTGCCATATTTTTTGCTTTGTTTCTCTATAAATAGGTACATGCCTATGTGCACACATGTATGCACACACACTGCTACTTCTAGAGATCATTTGAAATTAAATTGCAGACATGCACTTTTCTCTTAAGAGTAATAATATAAGGACTGTAAGTATATCATCTTACACAGCCACAACACTGATAAAATATTGTAATTTTATCAAAGTTTACCAACTATTCCCAAACACAAACATCGCCCCAACCACCACTGTGCAATGCATTCAGTGCCAGCAGCCTACAGCCAGAGGCCAGGCAATGGTATGGGGCCAGAGTTTGCTCTGGCAAGAGACACTAGGAAAAGTCCAGGCAGAAAAGTTTGCCAGAAATCCAAACCCAGGAATTACGAAGATTCTTACTCATATTTCATCATAGCTTTCCAACAAACATCAGTTTATTTAATTCTTTTTGTGTATGTGTGTGTGTGTGTGTGTGTGTGTCTTTTTGAGACAAGGTCTCCCTGTAGTCCCAGCTGACCTGAACTCACTATGTAGACCAGGCTGGCCTTGAACTCACAAAGATCCACCTGCCTCTGCCTCCAAGTGCTCGGACTAAAGGCGTGTGCCACCACGCCCAGCCCCAGTTTGGCATACTTTTAAAAAATTACGTCTGCACAACCCAGTAAAATACAGTAATAAGAGAGTCGAGTCCTCTCTCTCTCTCCTCCCTTTCACCATACTCTTAAAAGGGAATACTACCTAAACGTAGTCCTCACCTTCTAAAATGGAAGGCTTTACGTTGGTTTCAATAATATCCATTCTGTTATACTTGTATACCTAAGAGGAAAAATGCATTATCTTTGAGGCAGGAGCGCTTCTAGTCAGTGGAGAATTAAGATACTTGGAAACACAAATCACTTTTAGAGATTACCAGGACATTTTCCTGAGGAACAGGCCTCCTAGGAAGAGGCCTCCTATAAAGTTGCCCACAAAATTCAACCCCCTTTAGTAAAAAACAGTAGTATGTCACACATGAAGACCCAATTCTAAACATTACCAAAGAGGAATTTTTAAAATAGTTTTATAAATATTGCTTATTCCTAGGACTGGGAACCAGAACTATTTCTATATCATTTCACTTACTCAGAATACAAGGAATTTCAAATGATCCATTGCTCCCCTGTGTGACCACCTTTAAAAAGGTTTAAAAAGAATTCTCTTACCAGCCTCAGAGCTTCACCCCAGGCAGCTCCTTCTAAGAGTAGGAGCACAGCTTCTTCATAATCCTGACAAGGGAAGAGCAAGGAGGCAACAGGTGAATGCAGCAGGTGTCAGATGCTACCACAGCCAACACAGAACTGCCCCCTCTCCCCAGTCAGCCTTGGCCTTTCCAGTTCCAGTTCTTAGCATCTTGCCTCACCCAATATAGTGGATATTAATCTCCATACACACTTAACATAAAAGACAAAGGAGGGATGGTATCTTCTGAAAATGATCACAAAACACAAAGTAAGCATGTTTTCTTTACATCCTTAAACATCAAAACCACAATGCAAGTTTGTTAGAAATTTTCTAATTGGCTTATTTTTTGTTGTTCAATTGCAGTTCTTTATATATAGTCTAGATATTAAATCATTATCAGATACATGATTTGAAAATATTTTCTTCCATTCATTTTTAGGTTGTCTTTGTATACTTCTTGATAATTCTTAACTTATATGAAGTCTAATTTATAGATTTCTTTGGGGGAGGTGAGGTATTGCTGATCCTTTTGGTGTTAATCCTAAGAATCCACTGCCAAATCCAAGGTGATAAAGGCTTATCCCTGTGTTTTTTCTGAATGTTTCATGACTTTAGTTATTATTGATGGTTGTTGATCCATTTTGAGTGGCTTGAAATTTCTTAAATCTCAAGAAATATCAAGTAAAAATTTATATTTCTAGGTTATCTTGAAATAAAGAGCAGAAATGTGAAAAACATTTTTGAATCATTTAAAAATTTCCTAATCACTAAAAGTTAAAGTAGTAACTTACTATGGAATTTGCTTTTGGTTTTGTTTTTTTGAGACAAGGTCCCTCTATAGCCCGAGCTGGCCTGAAACTCGCTATGTAGATCAGGCTGGCTTCTGCCTCCCAAATTCAGGGATTAAAGCCACGTACCCCACCTGGCTCTACTATGGAATGTACAACATGTATAGAGTTAAAATGATCTTAGTTGCATTAACAAGAGGAACAGAAGTATCCCAATTAAGATTCTTCTTTTGGGGGGGGTGTCTTTTCGAGACAGGGTCTCCCTGTAGCCCCAGCAGGCCTAGCATTCGCTATGTAGACCAGGCTGGCCTCGAACTCAAGAGACCCACCTGCCTCTGCCTCCATGCCCAGCTCCAACTAAGATTCTTACACTACATATGAATGGCATAGTAATTTAAGAATGCACTATGGTAAATAAATGGTATTTACTGTAAATCCTAGAGCAATTACTAAAATAATTTATACAATAATTTACACAGTATTTCTAATGATATTGGATTTTGAATACAATCTGTCATGTGATCAGGAACGGACATTTACCCTTGTGATATCCCTATCAGTTCTCAAAAAATTTCAGATTTTGAGGCTTTTTGGATTTGGTTGAGGGATGAGCAATCTGTACTTAGATGCACTGGACTGAGATTTAAGGCACGTCATCAAGATGGAAACAGAACAAAGGCCTTCTCAGGACCCAACCATGACCCACAGCTCCTTCAGTTTTCATTGTCAGCAAAGCACAAGCAAGAAGTGTTTGCTTGTTGGCTGTGGGGTTTGAGAAGGGATTGTGTGCACTTACTTGGGCATACTGTTCCAGAACTATAGCTGCTTCACTGTGTTTCCTCTGCTCAACCAGCTTTGCTGCAAAGATAATAAACATTTGACAACAAATTGAAACCCATCTCCCCTCTGAAGCACTTTTCTGTCTTTTGGATATATCAAGCTCTGAACCTCCTGCATTTCTATGAGAATAGGTATATTACATACCACAAAGTGTAACCCCCCTTTCCATCCATTAGTTTTTTGTTTTTTATAGTTTCACTATGTACCCTAGGCTGGCCTAGAAATCACTTAGTCCAGAATGGCCTGAAACATGAAACACGAAATCCCCCTGCCTCAGCATCCTGAGTGCTGGGATTACAGAGGTGCACCGTCCTGCCTAGTATGAAGTTCTCTCTTAAATGAATGTAAATTTGAAAATCAGGTACAGTCAAAATTAGCTTATAAAATAATGACTCCAAAGGCTAGCAAAACTGCTATCTCTCACTAACCCATTTCTTCCTCCAGCAGGAAGGGCCTGTTAATTCTTGGAGTGGACAGTAAATGGAGGTGGCTGGTTACCTTTAAAGTCTTTAGCACCTAGAATCACTCTCAGCCTAGCTCAGATTGTAAGAGGAACACAAAACCCAAGGCTTACCAGGGGCAGGCAGATTTATTTCTCCCATTCATGTCACCCTCACTCCAGGACATGTTGCTACTGAAAAAAGGACACTGAATCACTTCCACTACCGAAGCAGTTACGGTTTCTTTTGCTGGCCTGTATAAACTGCCTAAGTTAAATGTGCACACAAAGTGATTTACTGTAGAACATGCTGTGGTGGTTTGAATGAGAAATGTCCTCCATAAAAAGGCTCAGGTATCTGAAAGTTTGGTCCCCAGCTGGTGGCGCTGCTTGGGAGGTCATGGAATCTTTAGGAGGTGCAGTCTTGCTGAAGAAGTATGTCACTGAGGGTGGGCTTTGAGCATTCACACACAGCCTTGCCCAACTTCTAGTTTCCCTTTCTCTGCTTCATGTGTGTGCTCGAGGATGTGAGCATTCAACTTTCTACTCTGAGCACCTGCTACCATGCCTCCCCTGCCATTATGGATTCTCTCTGGAACCATAGGCCAAAGTAAACGCTTTCCTCTATAAGGTGCCTTGGTCATGATGTTGTATCACAGCAGAGAGAAGTAACAAATACAAATGCCCTTTATAAAGCTGCCCTTTCCGCCTTTCATCAGTTAACATCTGAGATAACTAAGTGCACTCTATCACAAGACATAATGATTAGGAAGTAAAGAATACATAATGATCGGTAAGGAAGATACAAACTTAACAAGCTATACTTTGGAGTATTTTTTTTTGTAAGGACTGCTCTTCTTTTGAGATCACATGTTGGAGTTTAATCTCCATTGCCCAGTATTAAAAGGGAGGAAATATTTCAACAGTGATGCTTACTGTAGCCTCTGGGAGGTGATCAGCATGAGATGAGGCTGTCAGAGTAGTGCTGAGTGTTGATACTTTATAATAAAAGGGAGAGAGATCAGAACACAAACTCCTCTCAACATGTCATAGATGCCCTGTACTGCTTGCCAACAAACTCAAGGCCATCATAAGATGAGGGCCTTCAATCTGGAACCTAAACCATGAGCCCAAATAACAACAAAAACAAGCATATTAGGACAGTAAAGGAGGTAAAAATAGTCATTCCTTTATTCCAAGTACTACTAAAGGCCAGAGTCCTCCTCATCTCTTAAGAAGTCAGACCCTGAGCTGGGTGTGGTAGTGCATGCCTTTACTACCAGCTCTTGGAAGGCAGAAGCCAGTAGATCTCTGTGAGATTGAGGCCAGGCTGGCCTACATAGTGAATTCCAGGCCAGCTGTGGCTATAGGGAGACCCTGTCTCAAAAAGATCAAAAAAAGAAGCCAGACCCTAGCTGGGTGTGGTGGCACCTGTCTTTAATCCTAGCACTTGGAAGCCAAAGACAAGCAGATCTCTGTGAGATCGAGGTCAGTCTGGTCAAGTTCTAGGCCAGTTGGGAGACCAGGGAAAGGGAAAGGGAAAGGGAAAGGGAAAGGGAAAGGGAAAGGGAAAGAAAAGAAAAAAAAAGTGAGACCCTGGGGCACTAGCCTCTATGGTTCAGGAAATTCCTTAATCCTGACTCACTAAACTGCCTTTACTTTCTGTTAGTACATTTGGTCCTTTCCTCATCATTCCAGGCAACTGCTATTATGGTTTCCAGTCATGTACTGTCTATACTGTACAGTGTCACCCAAAACTTCATCTTTACCTTCTTGAAGGGCAGATGGCCAGCTTAGCTGCACTGTTTGGTGTGAAGATAAGATCTAAGTTTCAGTGAGTAAGATGGAGTAGACAACAGTGTGGCTTCTAGGCCATTTGCAGCCAGTTCTTAGGGGATGCAGAGCCACATAATGAAAGATCTATCAGTCCCTAGAGAAAAAATAAACTACTTTCTTCAACATGCCACTGCATTTAGGGACTAATAGTTTAATACTCTGTGAAGTTTCATGACAATAAGCCTGTCTCAAGGAACACTGTCCTAAATTTAAAGCAACAAACAAAAAAGCTTTTGAAGAAGTGGACAAATAAGTAACCTGTTTACCTGCCAGAGCTCTAGCGAGGCTAGCCACCTTGTCTTCGGTCAGCTGAAGCTGGGCTGCCACACAGAGGGTTTGCTGCCAACTGCCACAAGCCAGGAAAGCCGAGAGTGCTTTCTCGTGGGCACCACAGCGGGAGAACACAAGCCCCGCTGATTCATACAAGTGCTCCTGTACCAGGTATTCTCCATAGGCAATGCTGATAGCCTGTGACGAGGGAAGACAGAGCTGATGGGAAAAGGCCACAATAATTCCTCTGTAGTTCCAGTGTAGGCGACCTCAGTCACTATACTCAAGTCTCTTCCTTTTTGTACTTAAACCTTTATTGTGGACATACTGTGTACTCACTCAGCATATACTGGCTAACTACATAAGCTTTATTCCAGGCAGTGGGACTAGCACTGATGCAAAACAAAGAAGAACCACACTGAGTTCTTGCTCTTATTATAGAGAACGGACCTACTAACACAACCTGGCCTATGATAAATGGCAGAAGATAATCAAATGACAGAAAATGAGGGCATGTCACCTCTGAGGGCCACAAGAAAAAGAAGCTGTGTGAAGTCAGGAGGCAGTGTCTCTGGCAGAGCACATAAGGTACCAGGGCTATGCAGCAAGATTGTGCGCAGCACCTTCGAGGAATAACAAGGCTATGGTCACTGGGGCAGGTAAGGGAAGTAGAAAACCAGCGCTCCAAGGTCATTTTCATTCCCAAGGTTCAGGGTTAGGCAGAGACACAGGAATACAACACTCAGCCCACCCTTAAGGAAGCCATAGCCCAGCAGAAGACAAAGAAACAAAACAGTAGTTTATTTGGCACCTAATGTAAGATGGCTTTCAAGAGGGAGACCAGGAGTTTCTATGGACAGCTGGGGCTCAGGGAAAGGTAGGATAGAGGGCTGGCATGTATGAAACAGTATGACATCTGGGGAACTAGCTGCAAGTAATTGGGAATGTGAAGAGGGCCAGAAAGGAGTGTTAAAGAAGCGGGCAGGGGCTAGATCACAGAGAAGCAAGTGTGAGATTTGCATACGAACAAAAACGATGATGACAGCAGCATGGCACAGCCTCAGGCTGCATCCCAGGTGTGCCGCTCCGTAGCTCTGGCTCCTCAGGCAGGTTACATCCTCATTTCTAAACTAGACACAACTCGCTATCAGGCTCCCATGATTACTTTTAGCTTAGAAGCAAAGTACTTGGCACAGAAGAACTAATAGATGTTTATATAAACAAAAAAGTGCTTTTCCCTTTCCCTCGAAGCACACAGGAAAGACCCACTGCCCTGGCCAATTTCTTCCTCACAAGTTTCAGATGAGGCTGGCCAGTTCTAGGACAAATGTTGAAGCCAAGGACAGCGTTTGAACTTAAGATCACCTCCGTTTCCAAATAATTCAGAAAGCAAACTCCAAAGCCTCTTGTTCACCTACCACACACCTTGTGCTGCTGTGAATTTGGTGGATATAACTTCAGAGCTTCTTTATATAAGTTTTTATCTTTTATTAAATTTAAGCATTCTGTGAAGTATTCGGGTCCTGCAAAAATAAGATTTATATAAACACAGGCTTAAGACTTTGGAAGCCTAAGGGATTTCACTTGCACCAATAATTCTCAAGCCAAATAAATGTGGAAGCGTGTGTGTGTCTGCATGTGCGTGTGCGTGTGCGTGTGTGTAAAATCCTCAGGAGACATAAGTCTACTTGGCTTTTTGAGACAGGCTCTCTCACTGTTCTAGAGCTCCATGTAGGCTAGACAGGCTGGCCAGTGAGTTCCAGGGATCTGCCTATCTCACCTATCCAGAGCTAGGATTACAAAGCATACCACTATGCAGAGCTTTTTTTATCTGAGTCTTGAGGGATCGAACTTGGGTCCTCCAGCTTACAAAACAAGCACTTTAATGACTGAACTATCACCCTACCCTCCAATGGACCTTTTCACAGCCCAGGTAATCCAATCTTCTGGAAAACAACTTCAGGAGCTATTTCCTGGGCTGGGAGATAGATCAATCAATGTAAATTTTTAGTGAGCATCATTGCATATTCTGAGGTAAGAGAGGCACTACCTGGGATCATGTTATACTAGAATCTTACTACTCTCTAGCTCAACATTTCCTTGCTCTCCTTCGTAATAGCTGAGAAGTGATTAAAGGCTCCTCTCAAACCTCGTTCAGCCTAGCTGCATCACAATCTCCAAATCAGTGGGAGCCGAATGTATGCTTAACAAGTACCACAGGTGACTCTCTTCACCACAGGCCCTCAGTGAAGAGTCACAGGCTGAAGCACAGGGCGAGGATGCTGTGAAGGAGCACTGTTCTAGTTCTACTCCATCAATGTCAACTAAAACTGCCTTCAGAGCATACCACTAACCACAGACAAGCTGGGGTTTCCATCACATGTAGACAAACACTATGAGATGGATCATCAACTCGTTTTTATTAAGGCATTGAAGTGAACTTGGGAGCTGCTCACTCTTTTCTGTTCTCAGCTGGGGAGCACCTCTAGCTCCCTGAAAGTCATCTGCTCTCCCTCAGTTAGTCAAGGTCTGAGACAAAATAAGGTGAACATACAATACTCCTAAAGTTTTTAGGAGCAGAAAAAATAATTTTTTGAAGAAATAACACACTAACCCTCATACTTACCACATTTGCTGAGATGGCCAATGGCCTTTTCGTAACGTTTCAAGTACTTATCTATAGTGAATCGCTGGTAATTAGTTTCCATTTTCTTAAGTGTATTAAGAAATGGAAGATATTCCTTAGGATCCTAAAAAAAAAAGAAAACCACAAAACCTTATTACTTGCGATATTTACATATAATACAAATATATTTATTTGTATTTATATATTACAAATATGTAATATATTTACATATAATAACATAGCAATAAATTCAGAGAAACACATACATAAAGTCAAACAAGTTTTGGGAAAGATGCTTTTGTGTTTGGGTGCTGTTAAGTTTAATTTTGGAATAATGACTAATTCTTAAGGCTCATAATAGTCTCACCTCATCACAGGCTAAAAAGAAAAAACAGCTTGTAACCTAGAAGACATCCAACAAGTGAGCCTACGTTCTTCTTGAAAGAGCAAGGCATTGCTTTTGGTTCTATTCATGATGTAGCATATGTTTCATTATGAAGAGTGATGTTAAAATAAAGATGTGCTGAGTTGGACAAAACTATCCTCTCTAACCATCTCCAGCTCTGCACCCATGGGCAGTAAGCTGCTTTACTTCCAAACGAAGAGCTCTTTCCAGGGCTGGGGCGATAGGTAAGCCAATGTAAGCCCAAGAACCTGAGTTCAATCTCTAGGCACGGTAGCAGTATAAAAAAACCGGGCTAACCTACTTGGTGAGTTCCAAGTCAGTTAGAGATCATGTCTCAAAAACAAAGAAACCAACAAACAAAAACTAGATGGATGGCAACTGAGGAATAAGACCCAAAGTCTTCCTCTGGTTTCCACATATGTGCATACATGTGCACGGGCACCTGTGCATGCCAAGTGCAACAGCACAAACACAAACATGCACACATACACATGTACACAAATGCAAAACAGATGCTTCCTGTTCTTAATGCAGTTTCACTGAGCAAACTATAAACAGATGAAAGAATATGTACATAGGGAAAAAAGTAAAATAGGAAATAACTAAATGCTCCTAAATCTGACATGAACGATAACTATGGGTCAAAAAAGGGATCAACAAATATTTAATAATAATTGAATAAATAAAAATATTGTATCACCACAACCTTTAACCTCAGCTGATATTTTAGATGGAAACAGACTGTAGTATACAGGGGTAGGTCCTGGGTGCAACAGACATGCATGACAACATCACTTCTAGTCCCTGAAGCAGGGCAAGAATGGCTTACTGGGAAGATGCTATTTTGACATCCTTTAGCCAGGATGAGTAAAAATTCCCAGCAAATGGTGAGGGTGGGAACAACGGGAGCCCTGGGCCCATAGGAAGCACAAGTTATATTACTTTCAAAAGCACACAGAAGGTTGGAGGCGGTGAGGAGTTGGGGGAGGGAGAAAAAACACTGCTTTTTCTCCATGGGGGAGAGAATAAAAATACCACAAGAGAAAAATGGATTGATACATTAAGGCTAGACCATGAAGGTTTTTAATATGGCCTATCAACTCTACCCTAGAGGCAATGGCAAGCTTATGAAAGGCTTAGATTTTACTTTATGGAAAAACAAGTTCTAGCAACAGCAAAGTTTGAACTAACAGGGGAAGAGGCTGAGACTGAAGGAAAAAAAGAAAAAAAAACAACCCATGAAAGCACTAACAAACATTCTGACCACAGCATATGAACCAAAGGAGGCCAAGGAGGCCCTGAGCCTTTTCATCCTCCCTGATTTCACATTGGGAAGAAAGGGTTCACCATAAGGAAATGGATAGAACAGTAGAATACATATTACTTAATCACAGAAATAACCATGTAATTTTACTTCATCTCTTTGATCTAGCAATGAAAACACTTTGGTACACATAGAACTTTACAAAGAAAGAGGCTTAGAAACACAGGCCTAAGACCCAGATCCACCTCCACACTTTAGAGCAGAACAGCAGACAAACACTGCCCTCTCAGGAGCAGACTCCCACACTAGTGTGGTCATACAAACAAGTCCCCAAATGGTACAAAAGTACTAACCCCACATACCTTTTGTGACTTCTCAGCTACCATGAGGACCAAATCAAAGTCATAGGTCCCAAGAGAGTGATCATATAACTCATTAACATCTACCAGAAGCAGCAGGTATTTCAAGGCCTCCTCTGCACTCACAGCATCAGGAAGAGATGGAACATTTCCTGCTGGTGATTAAGAAAACAAAACAGGCTAGGGATGTAGCTCAGTATATCACATGCTTGCCTAGCATGCCTGAAGCCCTGGGTCTGATCTCCAACACCACATAAAACCAGTTGTGGTGATGCATACCTGCAATTAATTCCAGGCCTCAGAAGGTAGGGTGGGGGTGGGGAATCAGAAGTTCAAAGTCACCCTAAGCTACACAATCAGTTTGTGGTCAGGCTGGGCTACATGAGACTCTGCCAAAAAAGAGGAAAAGAAGAAGAGGAGGAGGAGAAAAGGAGAGGAGGAAAGAGAAGAGAGAGGGAGAGGAGGGAGGAGGGGGAGGGGAGGGAAAAAGGTAACACAACAGCGCCATTTGGGGAAAACTCCACAAACCCAGCAACATAACAAAAAAAGTAATAACATTTTCTGACAGAACTGGACACCAGATGAATATATGTTTGACTCATTCATACATGCTTCACACTCCAAAACTTCACCTTAAAATGATAAGCAAAAGCCATGTTAGCTCTGGAGTGGCAATAACAGGTATAGTCGTCTGAAGAAACAGGAGGGTTAGGCCATGTCAAACACCTGACTATGAGCATGTCTCTACCTTGAAGTTCGTGTACCTTCTGCAGCACAATCTCCAGTTCTGGGATTGTTTTCTTCACGTGAGATGTAAGTATTGACAGGCAGTATCTGAGAGTTAAGTGAAAAACACCAGAATGAGAAGGAATAAGCTGGACAAGAGCATCTACATAATCCTGTTGTCCTGAGGACATCAATACAGTAATAGCATCCATACTTGTGAGGACTGATGTTCTCCAGGGCTGCTCTCATAGCATCGCAGATAAGGTCAAGTTTCTTCCCATCAGGATCTCTGGATATCTGGGTGCAGCTGGTAACTGGTGGAGGGTACATGGTCTTGGTGACATCTTCTTCCCTAAGAACAAATGTGTATGAACAGGTCACTCACTAAGCAGAGACCAAGAGTCTAGTGACTGAACTACTAACATGCATCCAGTACGTTTTTGAGACAAAAATGGATCTGAAAAATTCAGTTATTAAAATAGTGAGAAATGATACATTCACAAAAGGTTTACATAATAACCTTATAGATGTTTTGCTCCTGTTAACCTGAAACAAAGTAAAATCAAGGTGTCTGTGTAACCAGAGAATAAAGAAATGGTAGTGTATTTACACAATTATACTTCTGAAAAATTAAAAACGAATGAACAGGGATACATGCAAAAACATGGCTGACCCTCAAGACAACATGCTGTTGAAAGCAGCTCTATTTACACACAAGATGAAATACTTAGATGGTCCATTCATATGAAGGTTATTTTTTAATTTTTAAAATTTTATTTATTGTTTTTATCCCATGTGTATGCATGTACTGCCTGCATTGTAGGTAAGTAAACCGGTGTCATGCAACACCCAAGGTCAGAAGAAGCTGTTGTATCCACTGGGACTGGAGCTACAGATAACTGTTAGCTGCCATATAGGTGCTGAGATTCAAACCCGGGTCTTCTGCAAGACAACGAGTGTTCTTAACTGCTAAGCCATCTCTCCAGCCCCTTCATATGAAGTTTTTAAACAGACAAAACTGACTGTGCTAGATAGCTTTAGTGTCAACTTGATACACCTAGGTTGATGAAGCCTCAACTGGGGAATCGCCTCCATTGGACTGGCCTGTGGCCATGTCTGTGGGTCATTTTCTTGATTGTTGAGTGATGTGTGCTAGATTCTTCCCTTTGAAATAAGACAGTTCTTTTTTTGGATTTTACAGAAGCCCCCCCCCAGTTAAGAGACTTTTTTTTTTTTTTTTTCTTTTTGGGGCAAGGGCCCCCTGTAGCCCCAGCTGTCCTGGAACTCACTGTAGACCAGGCTGGCCTTGAACTCACAGAGATCCGCTTGCCTCTGCCTCCCAAGTGCTGGGACTACAGGCGTGCGCCACCACACCCGGGACTTTTAAAAGAGACTATTGACTTTTAAGTGTTTGGATTTTTTAAGGACTGTGGGGTTTTTAGGGTTGTACTGTCTTATGTTGTGATATTAATGTTAATATTGTGTCTTGGGAACAAGAATTGGAAAGGTTATGGTTTAATAGTGATGTTTGTGTGTCAAGTTGACAAGGGGTCAATTGTGCTGGATAGCTTTAGTGTCAACTTGACACACCTAGGTTGATGCATTCCTCCATGGCCTGTGCTCCAGCTCCTGCTTCCAGGTTCCTGCCCTGAGCTCCTACCTTGGGCTCCCTGTTAACTGCGACCTGGGAGATGTAAGCTGAATAAACCCTTTCCTCCCCAAGTTGGTAGTGGTCAGAGTATTTCGTCACAGCAATGAAGAAACAAACCAGAACACTGACCTATAGTAAAAACACAAAGAAGAGTTGCCCAAGGGCTGGGACACAGGGATTAAGTCAGAAGCAATGTGAGGAGAGGCTGGGAAGTGGAGAGATGGTTCAGCAGTTAAGAGCACACCGGCAGCTCTTGCAGAGGACTCATGTTTGATTCTAGCACCCACACGGTGGCTAACAACCATGTGTAACTCCAGTTCCAAGAGATCTGACGCCCTCTTCTGACCTCCATGGGCACTGTACGACATGGGTACACACACACACACACACAGGCAATATACTCATAGACATAAAATAAAAATAAGTAAAAATATTTAAAAATAAAATAAAGAAAATTTTGCATTACTTGATAGGTATGTTCAGATTACATGATGTATACACATGCTAAACTCACTGGAGGGTAACTTAGAAATCAGGGCATTTCTCTCTAAAAGAAAAGCCCAAACTAGTCACACACAGAGAACACATTCTAGGTACTGCTAATCAAGATGAGGCTCTAAAAAGTAAAATGGACTGATACTCCAACTTTTTGCCACTTGTCCAAAATGAGATGAGTGATGGATGGATAAATTATAGACAGCAATAAAAAAGTTTCATTTAAAAGTTGGTGGGAAAAAATACCACAGAGGGTGGGGGAGAGATGGCTCAGCAGTTAAGAGAACTGGCTACTCTTGCAGAGGACCTGGGTTTGGTTCCCAGCAACCACATGGCAACTAACAACCATCCATAACTCCAGCTCCAGGCAGTCTGATGCCCTCTTCTGACTCCACAGGCATTGCATGACACGGGTGCTCTTACATACATGCAGGCAATACACCCGTATACATTAAAAAAAAAAAAAAAAACCCACGACAGCAAAAAGACAGTATTTCATGTCAATCTCATAAGAAAACTCATTTTACACGCATACCTAGGAACCAAGTCAAATAATTCAGTGATAGCTTTAAAAACCATAGTTTTAAAAAGTCTGTTGTAGCTGGGTATGATGGCACAGGACTTTAATCCCAGCACTCAGGAGGCAGAAGCAAGCATTCAAGGCCAGCTTGGTCTACATAGTGAGTTCCAGGCCAGCTGGGGCAACAGGGAGACCCTGTCTCAAAAAGACCAAAAAATTAAATAAATAAATAAATAAATAAATAAATAAATAAGACTATTGTTGAAGAAAAAGGTCAAGAAAACCTACTGGGACCTAAGAATTATAGTGATTTTTTTGGGGGGGGGGTGTCCTTTTGAGACAGGGTTTCCCTGTAACTATAGCTGACCTGGAACTATGTAGACCAGGCTGGCCTCAAACTCAAAGAGCTAGATCGCCTGTCTTTGCCTCCCAAGTGCTAGGATTAAAGGCATCTGCCACCATGTCCGATATAGTGATTTTTTTTTTTTTAAATGAAATTTTGTTCTTTAGCTACATATTTGATTTCCTTAATAAGAATGGCATGGGAATGATACATCCATGAGCTATCAAATGAGCTATACTTACTTCAGTTCTGTGAGAAACAGATTAATATGATTTACAGAATCTATCTGTTTTATGAAGGTTTCCACATTTTCAAGGAACACCTACCAAAAAAAGAAAAGTGGGTAAGAGATTTAGTTCCAATTGCCTTTATTCAAGTAAAAGTACACGAGATTTAGAAAGTTACCTTAGGGTTATGATCATGAATCAGATTGAGATTAATTCTCAGTTTTCTCATGCATTCAAATGCATCTTTAAACATGAGTCTGTGAGGAAAGAGGAAATAGGTACAAAGTGTAAACTAAGTTTTCTGGCCCAGTGTATTCTCATTATAACACTCAGATTACAACCCAAATGTCAAACAACTAGATTTCTACTCTGAAATTATAGAAGGGAAAAAACAAAAACAATAACAAAAAACCTAAGTGACCCCTTAAAATCTGTGGTTTAGTCACATGGACTACATAATCCTCTCACATTTATACAACAGAAGTCACCAAAGAACTGTGATCTACTTTTATCAACAAAACATCAACATAGACCCTTCTAGTATAAAGCTTTCTCCAAATAGATTCTGAAATTCAATCACTTCCTTTATGTTAGTAGCCTACTTCACAGGGTCAAAGACCCCTCTATAAATCTTAAGAGCCTTAGGGTTCAATATTCAGAATGTTGGCCCAGGAGGATCATGAGTTCAGGCCAGCCTGGACTGAGACCCTGCCTCAAAAACAAAACAAAAGCATAAAAGCATTTTTTTTTTTTTTTTTCTTTTTGAGACAGGTTCTCTCTCTAGCCTCAGCTGGCCTAGAACTTACTATATAGACCAGGCTGGCCTGGAACTCACAGAGATCTGCCTGCCTCTGGGATTAAAGGCTTGCACCACCAAGCCCAGTACATTGGGCTTTCTTTATGCATATCTACCAACACATATTAACACAGTTTCCCTAGACTCACAGGTCACTTAAAGCCCGTTTGGGTCCCCTTGGATTAAGAGCTGCCCTCTTGGCCAGGTGTGGTGACACACACCTACAGTCCCAGTGCTCAAGAGGCAGAGGCAGGCAAATCTCTGTTGAGATCCATGCTAGCCTGATTTATATAGCAAGTTCCAGGCGAGCCACGGCTACACAGTGAGACCCTATTTCAAGAAAACCAAAACAATCTGCTTTCTTTTATATGAAGAGCTTCACAAAATTTTCTTCTGGAATAAAACACAAGAAAAGTATCTGAAAGGTAAAGATATGTGTAAAAAAAGGATTTTATTAAAGCTTCTCCGTAACACAACAAGCTAACCAGCCACTTACTTGTCCAACCACTTCCGAATCTGAGCTAAAACCAGGGTTCGATGATGAACAACTTCCAAGTTTCCCCTTGGCATCTTAAAATAAATCAAGAGAGTAACATTTTGAATCAACCAGAAAACATTTAAACCACCAAGATACACAATTTTACCTGATGCTTCCTAAAGAACTACCACAAAGCAAAATGAACACACTTGTAGCAGAATTGAGTTGTACTTAATATTTATCTTGACTTTCAAGAAAAGCTTCTTTTTGGGCCTTACTGGTGAGCTTGTATCAACAAACACTCCTTAGTAAAGCTAATAGACAGCTAAAAAGAAAGGTTTGTATGGTCTAAAATTATAACAAAGCCTAAAATGCAATCTGCAAGAATTCTGTTTAGTCTTGATTTAGTGACAATCAGAAAGACTGAAAAAACTGAGCTTACCTGTAATATAAGCTTTGTATCCTGGGGCACAACTGTGACGATCCGGGAACCCCTTTCTACTTTCCGTAGAATTTCCCCATTAGCTACAGGACTGCCACAAAGACCTGCCTGTAATGCTGAAAATACCATTGGCTAAGCCTTCGGAATTATCATGGCAAGCCACACTTCTGTAGCTGCTTCTGAAACCAAACATGTTATCTGAAATACAATAAGGAGTCTACAGCCATACCATCCTGAATGCACCTGATCTTGTCTATACTACAGTTAACAACCAAGTTTCCTTGTTGTCCCATTTGGCCTCAAGATCATTAGCTCTTCCTGTAATATAATTCCTGGAAACGGCCCTCTCTACACAGCTTTTCAAGCAACTGGGAAAACAGGGATTGGAGCAGCTTCTGTATTTCTGAGTATCACCTGCACATTATAACCATCCACTTGGAAAAAGAGTCTGTCAGCAGCAAAGAAAATGTTTTTTTGGGAACACACTAGGGGGAGGAACAGTAATAGAAGGAAAATGATGCTAATATCCTACAAACAAGATGGAGTCCAGAAGTATAATAGTAGGTGGACAGTGATAAAAGAAGCATTAGAGCCTAGTGCCTACTGCCAGCTGGGGCTCTACACGGTCATGCAGAGTATTAGAAGAGCTGCATAATAAATTACATGAAGACTTTTAATTTTAGCATATGCTACTTAAGAAAGGACTTTTTTTCTTGGAAGTCTTTGGTAAATGAAGCAGAATAATTTACCCAAGATAGTGTAGTTGAAGAAAACAGGCTAGATAAGCAAGCATAGGACTCCATGGCAAAAAGCCAAAGCAGGAGAAGCTCTGAAGAACCATCAAAACTTCAAAGGGCATTGGAAGAGGGACTATATTGTTTTGCATAGGGAGAGCTTACTTTTAAAGGAAGCATCTCTCAGGGAGAAACACTGGCAGGTATGGGAATGGGTCGTCAACAGTAAAAACTCATCATACACTGCAAATGATGTGATATTTGATGCAACCTGCAACAAGGCAAGAGGCCAGGAAGAAATCAGCTATAGTACTTGCAGGTAACACTGTGAAAAGGATCAACCCAAACCAAGCCCAGATACCTCAGTGTCATCGATGAAAAAGCGACACCTGTCAGTTAGACCAAGGATACGTTCCTGCAAAGAAATGAAACTGAAATTATAAATAACTCTATTCACAATGACGTAAACCAACTCTATTCATAGCTAATAAACCTACTACTTTTATCAGACACTTATAGTGCGCTGAGATTTCATATCCAAGCCTTCATAATCAGCACTGAATGTACATACCCAGGACAAGACTAGTCCAAGCAAAGTGGACTAGGATACCGATTCAGCAGCAAGCTCTGTCACTGCTACCTACCATGCTATTTTGCACCTATTTCTCTCCCCTGTCTCACTCTACCCCCAAAAGTCTCCATGTTGAACCCCATTCCATTCCTCTCCAACCTACTCTTCTGATCAGCCAGATACTTTTTTTGGACGGGGGTGGGGGGAGTAATGGGTAGGATTTTCTCTTCTAATTATAATGTTTTTTTTTGTTGTTGTTGTTTGAGAGGCTAGGGAGGGTTCAGCAGTTAAAGCACTTGCGTCTCTTGCAGAAGACCCAGGTTCGATTCTCAGTACCCACATGGCAGCTGGGGGGAGGAAGCTTCTTCTGGTCTTCCTGGTACACATATATACATACATGCAGGTGAAACACTTGTACACATAAAATAAAAGTAAATCAATCTTTATTAAAAAATAAAATAAAATAGGCTTGATGCACGCCTTTGATCCCAAGCACTCAGGAGGCAGAGGCAGGCAGATCTCTGTGAAAACAAGGCCAGCATGTCTACATGGCGAGTTCCAGGCCAGCTGGGGTTAAAGAGAGACCCTGTCTCAAAAAGCTAAGAAATGAAAAATAAAAAATAAGACAAAGTGATTGCTTCTCTTTACCCCCAACATTTCTGTCTACCAAAGTCACCCCCCACCCCCACCCTCACTTGACACTGTCTCAAGTGGGAAGGGCAGTATAGGCCACCACTCAGGGCAGGGGAACTGAGCCAGGATATGCAATGGAAGCAGGTGGTTATGACCTGCTATATCTGCTATGTGACGCCCAAGGGCCCTACTCTGCCCTGTCCATGACTCCTGCAGGCCCATCTTCTTGCTTCTATGCTGAACTAGGGAGAGGGGTGTGAGAAGAAGCAGAAGAGGGTGAGTCAGCATGTTCTGATAGCATGGTGGGGAAGAAAGCCACCAGCCACAGTGCCACTCTGCTGCCCAGGGACAACCTCCTAACCTTCATTAAATATTTCCCAAACTCCTTGCTATGCACTGTCATCAGCTCCAACCACAACACTTCCATTCAGTTTCCTGAATGAGATCTTTCCAAACTCAGTGTTTCTAGTGCTTTCTCCTGAGACCACCCTTCCTTTGTTAAGGAGAGCTTTCTTTATATCTCAGCACATTCATCACTGCCTCACAGAGGCTGTCTTCATCATCCTTATAACTACCACCTTTAATTAGACCCAAACATCGCACTGCTTGTTACCATTACACACTGTTTCTTGCCTTTACTCCTTGGTCAATGTGAATGATTCCACATCAAAAAAAAAAAAAGTCTTAAGTCAGTTTTGTTTCATAACTACTGTATTCCTACAGTCATCTCAATATAAGCTTTCTAATATTTGTGGAATGACAATTGTTAAATTATTATTATTCCTGAGACCATATCTGTTTTCCTGAAAAGCTATTTAATAAGCCTTGAATAGTCTATAAACTAGGAATAAAATTTGCCAATTATATATATTAAACTGAATTCCCCTTTGAACTCTGAAAGACTCTAATTTTCCCTTTTTATAGATTAAAAAGGTGTTGGTCAAGAAAGGAAGAAATCTTCCTGTTGTGCCTGGATTTAGTGGGGACTCGGGTTCAACTTCAAAGCCCATCTTTCCCACCTAATACCTTCGGTCCCTGGGTAACTAGTCTATGTGGCAAGTTTCCCTGCCCTGTGTACATTCACCTCTCCTCCAATCATGGCCACTTCAATCTGTGTGCATGGATAAGGAAATCGAACAGGAAATCCACCAGGGTTCTTCCATGGTTCCACAGTCAGAGAGGAAGATTCTGCAAAATTGGCAGATTTGGTTTATAAATAGCTGATCAGTTCTTTTTTGGGGGGTGGGGGGTGAGGAGGGGAACAATACCAATACTTGCCAAAACACTCAGCATGCAATTTATATTACTTTCTGTTCGTTAGAACACTCCAAAATGGAGAATACAACTGCCAGTACTACTCTACAGCAGAGAGTTTTCCAGGGTAGTTAAAAGGCCTAACTGGGTTGGGGACGTAGCTCAGTGGTAGAGTGCTTGCCGCACAAGTGTGAGGCCCTGGGCTAGAACCCCAGCATGGCAAATAAACAAACAACAACCAACTAACAATCGAGCCAAATAACTCTGACTCAAAAAGACAAACATTGCACGCTTTCCCTCACATGCAAAAATTAAATTATGTTTTTATATGTGTTTGGGGGTGTGGGTACATGCCATGAAACTTGAAGGGAGGGTGGAAGGAAGAAAATTAACAGAATATAAGTGACACGAAAGCAGAGGGAAGTTAGGAGACCTGAAGGAGGGGAACAGGGGCATGGGGGAGGGAAGTGGGGAAAGAAGATGAACAAAAACTATGTACGAGATTGCCATAATAAAAACCATTACTTTGTATACTAAAAAGCAGTAACTCGGGGGCGGTGGGGAGGGAGTCCATGTCTTTAATCCCAGCACTCAGGAGGCAGAGGAAGGCAGATCTCTGAGTTCAAGGCCAGCCTGGTCTACAGAGCAACTTCCAGGACAGATGCTGCTCTGACAAGACTAACCAGTGATGCTCTCAAGAATTAAACATTTATACATGTCGTAAACATGCTTTCCTAATACTTACCCCATAGATACCTGAGTACCTGGCCATCAGCCAGCTGGAATGCTAACGACTTAGTTTTGGAACTGCAGCATAAACTGATGATGACTCCATCTACCACCACAGATGAACTGGAGAAAAAAAAGTAAACAAAGAGATAGGTATATAGGCTATTTTTTTAAAAGTGGAGACATTTCACTGATACTATCACACTGGAAACTAAGCAATGACCTTTTGCTGATACACTGCCTATTTTGATGTAATGAGAGAGTCATAGAGACAGACAGATGGAGAAGTAAAGTCCAAGTGCAGGTAAAGAGTTACCTGCTACTGACACTGTTTTCCACAAAATCAATAAATAGGCAAACTGCCTACCATGTGAAGTCCCCATTCCTATTCTGGCAGCAGTTCATCATAACTTACTACAGGTAATGCCTTCATTACACACAATAGCATTCTTTTTTTAAATTTTTTTTTATTTATTATTTTTATTTTATGGGTATGTGTGCATTGCCTGCATGTAGCTAAGTGCACCCATGTCATGCAATGCCCACAGAGGTCAGAAGAGGCTGTCAGATCCCCTGGGACTGGAGTTACGGACAGTTGTTAGTTGCCATGTGGGTACTGGGATTCAAACCCGGGTCTTCTGCAAGAACAATCAGTGTTCCTAACGGCTGAGCCATCTCTCCAGCCCCATAATAACATTCATAAAATGTAAACTGCATTACCTGGGCCCAGTGAGATAGGCCTGTAGTTTCAGCTACTTAGGAAACTGAAGAAAGAGTATCACAAGCTCCAGAGCAGCCTGAGTTACAGAGTGAGTTCAAGACCAGCCTGCACTACTTACTGAAACCCACCCTCAAATACAAAGAAGGCTAGGGACATTGCTCACTGACAGAATGCTGTTCTAGAATGTTCAAGACTTGAAATTCAATTCCCAGTAACACTAAATAAAAAATGAACAAAGGGGAGGCTAGAGAGATGGCTCAGCAGTTAAGAGCCCTGGCTGTTCTTGCAGAAGACCCACGTTTAGTTCCTAGCACTCACATGGTAGTTAACAACTGTTGGTAACTCAAGTTCCAAGGGATCTGACACCACCTTCTGGCCTCTGTGGACACTGCATGCACATGGTGCATTTACACACATATGGGCAATACATTCATATACATAAAATAAGAATAATTAAAATGTTTTTTAAATGAACCAAGAGAAGTAGGAATTCTTTTTTTTTACTATTTTATTATTTTTATTTTATATGTATGCATATATTGCCTGCATGTAGGTAAATGCACCCGTGTCATGCAGTGCCCGAGGAGTACAGAAGAGGCTGTTGGATCCCCTGGAACTGGAGTTACAGACAGTTGTTACGTGCCATATGGGTGCTGGGATTTGAACTCAGGTCTTCTGCAAAAGCAATGAGTGTTCTTAACCGGTGAGTCATCTCTCCAGCCCAGGATTTCTTTTAAAAGAAAAATACTGGGAGCTGGAGAGATGCTCAGCGGTTAAGAGCACTGACTGCTCTTGCAGAGGACCTGGGTTCAATTCCCAGCATCCACATGGCAGCTATGAACCATCTTTAACTCCAGTTCCAGGGGAATCCGAAGCCCTCTTCTGACCTCTGGGGCAATGCACGACACAGGTGCACTCACTTACATGGAGGCAATACACTCATATACATAAAAGTAATAATATATATATATATATATATATAAATTTATTTCAGACAGCCTGAGAGAGTGGGTTTGGACCTCCATCAGTGTAGCAGCTCCAATCTCAGCATACCTGCAGAGAGTGTCCAGTTCTGGCCTCCCTTGGGAGGAGGGCCTGAGAACACAGGGGACTGGCTGAGAGCCCCTTTATCCTACCTCCACGTGGTGAAGGAATCCTGAATATACCTGACTGGAACCTGAATTGGGCTTCTGTGGATACTCCTGAATAGCTGATCTGAAGCCATCAGTTCCCTCCAAATTAAACCAGACAGAACCTGAATCCTGTACCAACCAGCATTACATAACCAATAAAGAAAGGATCTAGACACCCCGATAATACAAACAGAAGCATACTGTAACTTAATTCTCATATAAGAAAAAAGAACAACAAATAAACAAATTAAAAAACTAAAAGAAGATAAGGTTAAACTACTGAATTAATTCATAAAAGAGATAGAAACATAGACTAAAACTCAAACAGAAATGAAAAAGGAAGTGCAAAACTCAATAAGCCAACTTGAAACAACAGGGGAAAGCCTTACCGCTAGAATGAATGAACGAACTGGAAAACAGAATATCAACACTGGAGGATAAAGTTGAAGAATTGGACCACTCAAGCGAAGATTATGGAAAATTTAAAAAAACACAGGAATGGAATATGCAAGAGATGTTAGACACCATGAAAAGACCAAATCTACAGATCATAGGAATAGAGGAAGGAGAAGAATTTCAGGTTAATGGTGTTGGCCAGATCTTAAACAGGATCTTAGAAGACAATTTCCCAAAATTAAGAAAAGACATCCCCATACAAATACAGGAAGCATATAGAATACCAAATAGACAGGATCAGAAAAGAAATGCCCCATGACACATCACAGTAAAAACACTAAGTGTACAGAACAAAGAGAGAATACTGAAAGTAGCAAAAGAAAAACAAGCCACAATGTCCTTGGCCCCTTAGCAACCTGCTCCGTTCCAAAGGTCAAAACATTGAAAACATTTGGGAGCTTTTATCTAATCCTTAAAAGATTTTAGGGTTATCTATTCAGAAGGGGGGATGTTAGAGTAGCCAAAAGCCCCATTAAAAAAAAAAAAAAATCAAAGAAGAAAGAGTACATGAAGTTATCAGAAAAAAGTGATGGGGAGATATGGGAGGAATTGGGAGGGTAGGGAGTGGGCATGGATTTGATCAAAACACCTTATACGCATGCATGAAATTCTCAATAAATTATTTTTTAAAAATGTATTTTATTTGTTATTTTTATTTTATGTGTAAGTGCACCCATGTCATGCAATGTGCACAGAGGTCAGAAGAGGGCGTCATATCCCCTGGAACTGAAGCTACAGACAGTTGTTAACCACCATGTGGGTGCTGGGAATTGAACCCAGGTCGTCTGCAAGACCAGTCAGTGCTCTTAACCACTGAGCAATCTCTCCAACCCAGAAGTAGGATTTCTTAGAGGAGGTAGCTATAAAAACAAAGCCAATGCTAGTATTTCATTCAAGGAGCTTAATTTAAAAAAATAAATCTACAAAAAGGACCCTAAAAATTCTAACAATATTTATTTTCTCCACTAAGCTTCAAATTTTGTGGTGACAAATTACCTGCCACAGATTAAGAGAACAGAATGAGCTGGCCTGGATGGGACTGAATCTGGTCCTGGGATTGAATCTGGTCCTGTAAGACCTCACAGAAGTCATCTGATTTTCATTTGACCCTCTGCTTCCACCTCCTCAGCATATCCTGCCTATGTGCACCAAAACTGGCTACACATTTCTTAAAGACATTAATATTTTTAAAAATATTTTCTTTATTATTTTTATCTTATGTGTATGAGTATATTATTGCATGTAGATAGGTACGCCCATGTCATGCAATGCCTACAGAGGTCAGAAGAGGGTGTTGGTTTTCCCTAGAACTGGAGTTATAGACAGTTGTTAGCTGCCATGTGGATGCTGGGATTCCAACCTGGATTCTCTGCAAGAGAATCCCCAAAACAGTAATATTTTACCCAAACAAAGTCTTTTAAGAAAAAAAGTCAAAGTAGCAGAAATATATTACAAATGACTGCTCATTTAGAACTTCAAATCTGAAGAAATTAGAAACACAATTAGATATACTGTGTTGTCTAATATAAACTGCTCTTCTTTTCTGAAAGCGGATCCTGGTTAACTTTCAGCACTTCACACATCTAATACAGAACATTCAACACCTAGACACTCTCACAAAAAGTTGTTTCACAGGATCACAAAGCTTTGTAGTTTAAAGATTAGGAGTAATGACTGTATTGTAACTTGTTTATATAATAAATTTATTTTGTATCAAGATTCTGCAAATATTAACTTTAACTGGTGGGGCTTTAATTACACATGCACCTGGCAGTTAACAGAGTGTATAACCAAGCTGTCAAATCTTGCCATTGGGAGCCTGAAATATTTTGGCAGCTGGTCAGAAAATATTTTCTCTTATACCCCACAGTTTGCATGATAGAGAAGATTTTTCAGTAACTGGTACTATTACATGATGGAGAAATCATGAGTCAAAACAAAATCAAAACAAACTCAGGTCCAGGGAGCAGGGAACTTCAGTGAAAGAACAGAGACTTTCTAGTGGTAAATGGTGGCAGGTATGAAGCAGGGAGGACAGAAGGGACCAAAGAAGGATTCTGACACCACTGTTTAAAAACAAAGCATACTCATGTAGATAAATTCCAATACACTACTAGCCCATGAAAACCACCAATGATAATTACCTACTAAAACCAATTGTAAGGTTTAATAATTACTTTGCAGAAGTATGAGTAGATAATTAAAATACTTAATCCATCTTAAACTTAGCCAGGCATGCTGGTGTGCACCTTTAATTCCAGTACGTGGGAGGCAGAAGCAGTTAAATCTCTGTGATTTTGAGGCCAGCATGATCTACAAATAAAGTTCCAGGCCAGCCAGTAATACATAGTTGAGGCCCTGTCTCAAAACAAAACAAAATAAACAAAGCAGTCTTACCTTCCTGATGTTATTTGTACTACTTTTCACTGCTTGACATAATTTTGGTCTATTGTTCTGACAGGACTCAGAACTACAGTGAACCATCTTGCTATGTATGACTAACAAGAAAGGTACTACTACTGCTCCTCAGCCTTGCTTACTACAAGCCAAAGAAAGCCTTGTGCTCCTAAGAGACCATTCATAACTCCATTTGTTAATGTAACAGGTGGGCTACGGGGAAGAAACTCAGTACCTGACACTGAGCTGTCCTTGCTCCTCATTCATCTCAGAGGGGGCCACAGTCAAACGGTGAATGACAGATTGTGAGCTGGACTGACTGTGGCTTACAGCCAGGAAAATGTCTTCCTCAATCCAGGTGAGAAGGCTGAGCCTCAGTGGGTTTGCTTCTTCACCTTCATTATTCCCAAACCGAATTCTGTTTTAAATATTAAAGGATAGCTAAGATAAGAATAAAGATTTAAGATCATTCACCTTTTAAAATCTTTCCTTAATGAAGAAACTGAAGCTAATACCAAATACCAGAATCCCACAAAATATGAATTAAGAATGTTATTTATCGTAATATTTTATTATTTTTTATTATTTTATGTGCATGAGTGTATTGCCTGCATGTATGTAAGTACACCCGTGTCATGCAATACCTGCAGAAGTCAGAAGAGGATACTGGATCCCCTGAAACTGGAGTTACAGCTCTGGATGTTAGCCACATGTGGGGGCTGGGAACCAAACCCAGGTCCTATGCAAGAGCAGTCTTTGCTTTTAACCGCTGAGCCATCTCTCGAGCCCCCAAATGTTTTTATTTTAAATTGTTTCACCTTTCTGGAAACTGACTACATAAGAAAATTACCTGCTTTTGTGTCTACACTAATGACACCCATTGCCAGCACTCAAACCAGATGCCAGCATATATTTGAGTCTCAGAGGACAGGGTCCTGTCCTAAGTACCCCACATCAAAATGACTAATAGGTTTCGTTCCTTCTAATGGTTTCCTGAGGAAGCATGTATACATCTGACCTGGGCATTGCTTTTGTCATTTCATAAAGGAACCAATAAAGGTGACTTCCTGCCTTTTGGATTCCAAGGCAAATCAATAGCAGTCACTTCAGAAGTGGGTCCCTAGTATGATCTGCCTACTCAGCCAGCTGTCCCTGAAGTCAGCTTCTCCACTACACACAGCCAAGGGCCAGAGTTCTCTCTACAGAGGAGTCCCGGCTCTGAGTCTCCCCAGTGTTTTCCCAATTCTTTCCCAATCCAACTCAAATTTTTCCCTCAAGAAAGAAATAAAGATTCATGTCCTTATGAAATATTCTCTAAATGACTTTAACTTACCCTCCTCTCAATTATTTTTAGGAATGAACCTACATTCTAACCAACAGCTTTGTAAAATTTGGGTTGCAGCACTCTACGTAGCCACATGACTGAATGTAAGGGTTTCAAAAATTTTGGTAATAGCAAAATTTTTCTGAATACACAATGACTAAAAATGAATTCAGTATCAAATGTATAACGAACGCAAGGTATTTGGAGCAGCTCTCATATGCTGCATCACACAACTTCCCTACAGCCTTGGTTTGAACACACAACATGCATGCTCCGCAGTGCACATGTCATCATGCCATGCAATACCAACCGACACTGCCTGAAACACTTCAGTTCACATTTGAGATGATTATAAGTTATGAATCGCACTGTTTTTCCTACACAATATTTTTTTTGTTCTTACAGAATCATAATGGTTTAATTATGGAAAACAAATACTTTTTAATATTTTTGTACTGTTGTTCCTCAGCATGTTAAGTATCAAATTACTATACTATTAGATATAGTAGTATGTTGGAATGTTTGATTTTAAAAATGGCTGTCTGAATAGTTGACTTGACTGGCATTAGAAAAGAATTTCTGGGGCTGGAGAGATGGCTCAGTGGTTAAGAGCACTGACTGCTCTTGCAGAGGACCTGGGTTCAATTCCCAGCACCCACATGGCAGCTACAAACCGTCCTTAACTCCAGTTCCAGAGGACTCTGAAGCCCATCTTCTGATCTCTGCCGCACTGCACGACACAGGTGCACTCACATTAAAAAGAGAATTGTCAACAACTTCTGAAATGGCCCTAAAAATATTTCTGACATTTTGTAGTATGTATACACAAAAAGTGGTATTCCCAGAAGTGATAATTATAAAATAAAAATATCCATCAACTCTGAAAAATACTGAAAACACTCCATGGTCTACAAAATCAAATCAGCTAAGATTTAATTATTTATGTAAAATTAAATGAGCAGATGCATCTCATCAGTATGTAAATTTGCTTTTGTCTTTAATAAATAGGATGTACCAAGGATTTAAGGTGTTTATTCTTGTGGGGGATGTGTGTAAGCCAGAGGACAACTTCTGAGTGACATCCTCAAGAACAGCAACCTTTGACAGGGCTTCTCAATGGCCCGGAGTTCACCAATTAGGCTAGAGCCCCAGGCATCCTGTCTCCCACATCCCCAGTACTGGGATTATAACTGCATGCCACATGTCTGGCATTTTTTACATGGGTTCTGGGGCTTAAACTCGGGTTTTTATGGAAGCCCTTTACTGACTTGAGCTATCCCCCCAACCCCAAGGAATTGTTTTAAAATAAATTTATGATTGTCAGTAAATGTTTGATCTCTATACTTACTGTATATGTCTAGATACCCAGGTTCAAATACAAATTATTCAGGAGAAAAGGGGATGAGAGTGAAAAAGTTTAAATAGCCCAATTCTAAACTGCCTCAAGTCTTTTTAACATTTTATTGATTTATTTTCATGTATTTTGAACATATGTAGGTGCATCACATGCATGCAATACCTGCCAAGATCAGGAGAGTTAGATCAATTGGAATGGGAGTTACCAATGGTTATTAGCTGCCACGTGGGTGCTGGGAACAGAACCTTGGTCCTCTACAACAGCAGTCAGTGCTTTTTACTGCTGAGCCATCTCTCCAGCTCCTAAACTGCTTCACTCTTAATCTGTCTTACACCTATCTAGTCATTTTAAGTTGGATGCTAAAATTCAGATCTGGAACATTCCCCCCAAAGGCTCATGTACTACAGCTTAGTCTCAAACCTCTGTGCCAGTACAAAGAGTGAAAACATTTAAGAGGTAGAGGGAAGTTTTAGGTCACTAGAATAGCCCCGAAGAAAACTGTAAGGACCTAGTCTTTTCCTTTCTTTCTTTACATCTAGTCATGAGGTGACTAAATGGGTCCCAATTCATATACATTTGAAAACTATGTATTTATTTAATATATGACATATATTTAGGAAACATTATCTACCTTCTAATTTTATTCCTTTATTTGCAAGTACTCTATGAGTGGTACTTTTAAAAACATTTTCCTTAAGCCAGGTGTGGTGGTGGTACACACCTTTAATCCCAGCACTCGGGAGGCAGAAGCAGGAGGATCTCTGTGAGTTCAAGGCCACCTGGTCTACATAGTGAGTTCCAGGCCAGTTGGAGCTACAGGGAGACCCTGTCTCAAAAAAAATAAAAATAATAAACGTTTTCAACTGGATACAGTGGAACGTACTTTTAATCCCAGCACTCAGGAGGCAGAGGCAGGCGGCTCTTTAAGATCAAGGCCAGCCTGGTCTACATTGCGAGTTCCAGGATGGCTGGGGCTATAGGGAGACCCTGTCTCAAAAACACAAAACAAAAACAAAACAAGCATATACATACATACATACACACACATACACACACACACACAGAGGCATGCATGCACGCACGCACGCACGCACACACACACTTTCTCACAAAAGCAGAATTATAATTTCGTATGTGTCTTTTTACCAAGCGTATTGTGGATCTGAGGTGCTCATTACAGTCAATGACTTGAAATGCTGTTTCAATGGGAAAATGCATTCTGATTTCAACTTAGGAGCCTAAAATTCTAATACCCAGAAGTCCTAGAATCTGGAATGAGACCAAGACAGAGGGTGAAGTGGGGCATTCACACTAGCAACCTGGTACACCCCCATTTATGTAAGAGAATGCAACTGTGCCTTACTGTCTCATCTCTCTCACACAATTCCTCTTGGAGAACCAAGAGTAGTTGTGGGAATGGGAGTCTAGGTTGGCATTCATCTCTACCTTCCTTGCCACCCACTAGACTATATGATAATCGCAAGGTAAGTGACACAAGCATGCTGGAAAGCCAGGACTCACTCGCCTGCTGCGAGTCTCTACTTCACTCCCCTCAGCAGCAAGCACAGAATAGCAACCTGGTGAATTTGGGACAAAATGCTGGCTGATTCTGTTCCCAGAGGTCCAAGATATTTAAAAACCTACGTGTATCTCTTTTCCAGATGTGGTGTTTTAAGGGGAACTTTAAATCCATTTCCACCTACAGCTCCCAGTTTCACTGTGGGGTCCAAGCCTGGCTTATCACCTAGAAAACAAAAATGCAAACACTGTCAGCGCAAACTGTCTCCTAACACCAAGAGTGTACAATCTTACAACTCATGAGTTCTAGAAGGCAAGTAAAGTAATCCAGAAAATAACCAACCTCCACCTTCCTTAAATTCCCACACCGTTCAGGCTTGACCAAAACCTGTTTTCCATTAATACCATGTCAGTCACAATCTTCACCAATAAAAGCAACCCTTCAGCAAGGCTAGGTCAGGGGCATCTTCTCCACACTAGCACTCTATCCCCCCTACAGTGGTCACTCATCTCTCAGCAACCTCACATCCTCCAGTCCTTAGCACTCATATTCTCTTTCCAGCTGTTAACCTAGTTCATGGCACAGCAGCCAATACCATCCTCTAAATACTCTGTTCCACGACCTCTAATGGGCCCCAGCTAACTCCGAGTAAAAGCCTTCCAGGCCTACAAGATGATGTTCCCTATCATGACCCCACCAACCACTCTTCCCTAATCTGCCCTGCTGCAGTCATTTTGACTTTCTGGCTACATCCTAAACACAAGAGGCATCTCTGTGGCTTTCCACTGCTTGGAATAGTCTTACCCCATATTTGCATGCTTCCCACTCTGATTCTCAGCAGGTCTCTGTGTAAAGATCACCTTCCCAGAGAAGATTTCCCAAATGACTTTAAATACAGGTCACCTTCCCCAGCAGTTCACTATCGTCCCCACACTCTCCCTATGTCCCTCTCTTGCTTAACTTTTCTGCACAGCACTCACCATCTGACAGACTATACAGCCTGGATAATGAACCTGTTAATATCATTTATTTAAAAGCTATTTTAACAAGTTTAAGAAAGACTATATATAATAGTATTTTACAGTGTGAAACTGAAATCAGAGAAACTGGTGATATATCTAAAGAGAATTCATACATAAAGTAGGCTGCTCATTTAAGAAAAGCTGGTTTGAAAGTGGGGAACATTATTGCAATTAACTAGCTTCAGTTATTTTTTCTCAACAGCTATCTAGGTTTGTTTCTATTGAAACGTCAAAAGGTATTTGAACCAAAGCTACCATTGCTATACGGTATAACCATAGAAACTCACAAATAAAACCAAATTACTGGTTTTCCAGTAGACTGGGAGTAGGAGCTGGAAGACTTGGTATTGAAGCCCCTGCCCATTCACATGCTCAAGCAAACTGCAATACCTCTGGTATCATATACCCTCTATAAAGCAGGAAAAAGCCATTTCTGACATAGCTCCTAGGAAAAGGGAGATCAGCTGAAAGTATGTGCAAAGGCAAAGGAAACAGGAAAGCCCATTAAAGAGGTGAGAAGAAGCTATGTTATTTCCTGAGTTAAATGTTATCCTTAAGTAAGTGACTCTTTAAGATCAATAAGGCAGAAGGAAATGTTCTTAGGAATTAGACTAGGATTTAGGAAAAGATCAAACTGCAGTCAAATTAAACATCATGACAATGAAATCAAGTATAGACTTTATAAATTTTAGAAACACTGGAACTAAGATAACTTGCTTCTGTGGAGGAGGAGGGGGAGCTGGATTCAGACTATCTTAGTAAGTCTTTTAACATACCACATTTGTAGACAGAAATCTGGTTACTGGCATCTAAGACAGCAAGGTCATTACTATTTTCGAGGTGTGCAGAGAACATGACTTGATTCACTGGGTGTGGGTTCAGCAGTCGGTAAGTACACATAGGAGGTGGAATCACGGTCTGCCGGAAGACTGTTACCAATACCCTGTCTGCACAATAAAGAGGAGGATTAGATGTGTGGATATTCTATGTATAAAAATAGGCACTAAGTGATAACTGGTAGAAAGCATATAGCAGTTCTTCAAAAGATTGTTTAGTATTTTTCTCATGAATAAGTTTGGAAACATTGTGAGTAGGGGAGGGGTTCTTTCTGTTATCTGGCTACTGTGGCCTCCAGACCTAGACTGGACTTTGAAGTTTGAGGTGCCAAGGATTAAGGCCAAAAGGTCAGGAGGTCTGAGTTCCAGCTTTAAACATGGGCCTGTTATGAAGCCAGACTAAACTAGGATAATCAATACCTTCAAAGTCCTTAAAGCCAGCAATTGGGAGGCTGGGGCAGGAGGACTGCCATGTTTCTAAAGCCCCCCAGTATTAAAGTGAGTTCAGTCAGGGATACATACCAAGATTCTGTCTCAAAAGACAGCCCCCACCACCAAAAGCACTTTTCTATATAAGATTTAGTAAAAAGCCAGGACTAAGTTCTCTATACAGAACACGATTACAGGATTGGTATTACAACCACCATGCAGAACATAATTAGTATGCCAAGAGTTCCTTTACATTGTCAGCAATAACTAAACTGTCCAATTAGGCAGCTATTTCATTCACCAATCCAGCTCACCACCCCCAACTCCACTACCTAATTAAAAATTACCAACCCAAGCTGGGTGTGGTGGCACACACCTTTAATCCCAGCACTCTTAAGGCAGAGGCAGGTGGATCTCTGTGAGTTCCAGGCCAGCCTGGGCTACAAAGTGTGTTCCAGGCCAGCTGGGGCTAGAGGGAGACCCTGTCTCAAAAAAATAAAAACAAAAACAAAAAAACAAAAACTACCAACCCAATTCTCTTAAGAGACAGACGTCTAGGGCTTGAACTAAACACACTAGAGAAAGAGGTGATTCACAAGTGTATACATCAGGCAACACAAGTGGAGTGCATAGGTCAATACAAGGCTAAGACACCCAATCTCACAAGGCTCGACTATTTTTTGCAAGGGAACAAAACCGTTAGATTTTTTTTTAAGGCTAGACAAGTAAATGTATGACAGTCACAAGCACAGGAAGGTCGGATGAGAAGGAACTACAGTGCTCAGCAAAATATACACTCTACCTACCTAATGGCACTCACTCAATCAGAAACAACAAACAAGTAAAAATAAACCAAACGACTGAAAGATTTCCCCATTGTTCTGATTAAGCCATCGCATCTGCAGGCCCTGGCTCAGAACCTGTATGTTCATGGACACACTTCACAGCAACTTACATCCATCAATAACAGCCACGTTTGCCAAGTCACTAGAATTATTTCCTGAGCTCCGATCAGTGGTCCAGTGCCAATCATAGCACAGGTAATGCCAACCCTGACAGAGAACATGCAGCCGGTATGGTGTCATGGGGTCCCACAGCAGAGATACAATCTGGCTCTTCCCACTGGTACTGAAGGGCAGACTTTGCTTGAGATACCAATGATAGTTTCCCACGGTCCAGAGCTGAACTGCAGTGGAGAATGAAAAGAAGGCTTTCAGAGGCTGGGTGACCAGAGTTCACATCACTTGTAGACTGGGACATAATTATGTATGTTTCAAATAACTCTTCTCCCTGTTTGGGCTCTTCATAAAATAACTGAATAATAATCAATGCTAAAAGTTTTCTACAAAGACAAAAATACCACACATCACTTAGGTTATAAGTACGTGTTTACTTTTCTCTCTACCTTTAAACCTTATAACTATGAAAGAAAGTGAACAGAAGACAGCATTTTAGTGAGTTTTCTCCAAGCAAAGTGGAACAGAAGATAACCAGATAAAAAGTACAGCCTTGCACCACCCAACAGGGATACATGCTGAGAAATGTGTCATTAATAGGGATCATATAGTTCAAGCACCACTAAGTATACTTACACGAGGTCAGACCATTGCCAATGGCGATACAATACTATGGGACCCCTACCTAACATGTGGTCTGTGGGTTTAACATCCTTTCTTGCAGGTGTTTTGCATGCAATTATGTCCCAGGCTATCTAATACTGACCAACATCCAGCTGCACAAAGATTAATATGCACTCAATCATCGTAATATGTATTAAAATTGTTATGTCCAACCTGGCCTTTATTAATAGAAGACACATATAAGTTAAGATTTTAGTTACATTATAGAATGCATTTACTTAACCCGTTCCCTACTCTAATCTATCATGCTACTACAGTATTTCTACATAGACATGAGTTGGTCAGTTAGACCCTAGGCTCATACTCATGAGGACAGGTGCTGTAGTTTTTCTTTATAGCATTGTTACCCTGAGCCTATCACAGTGTTATCACTTTACAAATGGTTAATCAGTGGCTCTCAAGAGGTTGTATATTAAGTCCATTTGGAAGTTTTGGTTGGTTTGTTAATTTTCACAAGGTTCTGGGTTCAATCCTGAACACCATCAAAAATTAATTAAGAAACTACCATGGATTCTGTATCCCAACAGAATGAATCCAATTCTGAGATAAAGCCTGGATGTCACTGTTTTTATTAAAGGTGCAATCAGGGTTGAGAAGAAACAACGCTGAATAAATGAATGAAAAAATTACTTAACTCTATCTCAGTTTAAAAGGTTTAATTGTTTAAAAAATTTGAAAGCCGCTTAGAAAATAAGCAAAAAAACTTCAAAAAACAAAAATGTTCACTGCATTGATGCTGATCATAATGAGAAGTTAATGCAAGTATCTAATAGCAAAAAAGTTAATAAAATGGCACAGCTTAGTACACAACAATCTAAAATGAAGCATATATGCATATGAAATGGAAACTTGCTTGTGATAGTGTCAAAGCAAGTTATGAAATAGCATGTAGCATGCCTATACTTCTAAATAAAAATGAGATCCTATGTATACTGACATATACATACAAAAATGCAAAAAGTAGCTGGGTATGGTGGCATAAACCTTTAATCCCAGCACTCAGAAGGCTGAGGCAGGCAGATTTCTGAGTCTGAGGTCAGCCTGGTCATGAGTTCCAGGCTAGCCAGGGCTATATAATAAGATCCTGTGTGAAAAATAATTAAGTGGCTGGGGAGATGACTCAGTGGTTAAGAGCACTGGCTGCTCTAGCAGAAGACCTGGATTCGATTCCCAGCACCCACATGGTGGCTAACACCTGGCTATAACTCCAGTTCCAGGGGATCTGGTACCCTCTTCTGGCTTCCTTGGGCATTGTATGCACAGGTACATTTATATATACGCAGGTAGAACATTCATACACATAAAATTTCAAAAAAATTTTTAAATACCTAAAATCAGAGAACAAGATAATTTTCACAAAGATTATTACTGAGTCCTAGAACTATAGTTTTGTTTGCTTTTCTTTTTCTCATTATTACTAATATTTTCATTAAAACTTTAGATTGCAGTTGGGGCTTAGCTCAGTGATAGAGGGCATGCCTAATAAATCCAAGACCCTGAGGTAGTGTCCCAAGACTGAAAAAATAATAATAATAAACAAAAGAAAGGAAATAGTATACTTATATAAGTCTATACTTAAATGTGTATATGTCTATAAATCTTAAAATTCAAAAAAAGATTCTTATGTCCAATCTAAATTCACTCACTTCACAGTATTCTTTAGGTTGATGTTATTTCTGCAGTGGTGCTATCCAAGTAGACAAAGCACTGATGACCGGTGGTGGCTAAGTTTGTGTGTTAACTTGGCTAGGGTGTGGTGTCCTAGTCAAAAACTAATCTACATATTATTGTGAGGGTGCTTAGGTGGTGTGATTAACATTTACAATTAGCTGACTTTAAATAGAGCAGATTACCCCCTATAGTATCAGTGGTCTCATCCAACAAGTTGAAAGCCTTAAAGGAAAAACTGAAGGTTCCAGAAAAGAAGAAATTCTGCCTCAATACTGTAACACAGAAATCCTGCCTTACTTCCCAGCCTGCCCTAGGATTTCAAACTTGCGACCCCCTACAAGCACATAAGCCAATTCCCTTGAAACAGATGCATCCACACCTCTCTTACTCTCCCCTCTCCTCTCCTCTCTGTACCCCCTATGGGTTCTAGTTTTCTGAGAACCCTGGCTCATACATAACTGAACCTTAAGTGATCAAAACCTAACCCTCTCCCCATGTGCATCTAGGGACTTCCACTTCATTGCTTTCACTGAGGGACTAAGTAGAAAGAATGAAGGATGAAGGAAATCCCACAATCTTCTGCTTTCAACAATTTATGAGGCCTGCACCCAAATAAGACAACCATCATACCATAGCTTTTCAGGGTAGAACTGTCTTCCCTCTGAAGCTCTTCCAGCCAAACAGCAAGCACAGAGGAATCTGCATTCCACAGCAAGTCATTTACCTAGAGGGGAAAGACATCCTAGACCTTTAGTTATTTATTTATTCCAAGATCTTTACCACAACAGCTGAATTCCCTGCTCCCATAAACCAAGTAATCCCGCATTACTTGAACTGACTTCTAGCTGTAAATTGTTAATCTACAGTCATTACATAAAACTGTTAAATATGTCATTAAATAATGGACTTAAAATATGTATTATGCTTAAAGAGTCCAAAAGACTTCACACTTCAGCAGGACGTAAATGGTATAGAAGCTACTTAATGATGAAATATTTAAAACGAAAAGTGTACTGAATACTGGAAAAGTTATGGTCATATCTAAATAAACAATAAATATTAGTATTTTTTTTCTAGTGTTTAGAAGAAATGCCACTTCTGTTTTGCAAAAATGTCTTTAGAGACACAATGTTTTCTGTTTTGTTTTTTAAATCCAGAAGCCACTATTTCTATACCACAGTTTCTATTTAAAACTGTATCAAACACGGGGCTAGAGAGATAGCTCAGTCGTTAAGAACACTGACTGTTCTTGGAGAAGACTCGGGTTCAAATCCCAGCACCCACATGGAAGCTAACAACTGTCCGTAACTCCAGTTCCAGGGGATCCGACAGCTTCTTCTGTCCTCTTCAGGCATTGCACAACACAGGTACACTTACTTACATGCATGCATAACACTCATATACATAAAAAATAAAAATAATAAAATGTTAAAAAAAAATAATTGTATCAAACACAAACCTCTATAGCTGAGGAGAATGCACTAAACTGGATGGAAAACAACTGAGACATTTACCTTAACCTCATCTTTGAGGAAAGGAAGAGTAAACTGTCCATGAAGAAGTCCATTTTTCTCAAAAAACACAACATCTTGCTGATTGGGTTTATCTTGAGTAGATGCAATCAAACTGCCTGAGGGTCTTAAAGCAAAGCCAGTGTTAGTCCATATAAAAGTTCCCCATTTTCTTAGGAACAGAGGAGATTTAACAAGAGTTTTTCCTAGCAAAAAACAAAAGCAAAAAAACAAAAATCTTTCTCCAAGAAAATGTACTGTTTCTCTGTGGTGCTGGGGTCATGGGGTTTTAAACCCCATGTGTCTGTCCTTTGTCTCTTGGCAAGAGTTCACCCCAGTTATATGTATGAAAGGCTCTGCCCGGAGGAAAGGGTGACTCTTCCTACATCTGCCTATAGATTTCAAACTGCAACTGGGTGATTTTTTTTCCTTCAAAACCTAGCAAATTTTCTATACCATGCCAAGCACAATATCCTAACTAATCTATTTCCTCTTTAATTACGACTTTATGAATATTCCACATTTAGGTAGGTTATTTAAGACGTCTCTACTGAAAGCATCTCAGTTCTCGTCTTACTCATATTTGTCTCCGAGTTTTCATTCAAATGCACAAATAACACCCAATGCCACCAGGTAGAAAATAAGATGACTGTAACCCAAACTAAGTAGTTTTGTATGTAACAGATGCTACTAAGATAAGTGCCTTCTTCTAACTATAATGTACATGCAGCCAATATGACAGGCAAGCTGTGACCTACACAGGGTACCAGACCAAGAAGGCGAATGAAAGGAAGCTCAAATTTGGCCTGTGGGTTTCTAAGCAAGCAGACCCCTACTGTTGAAATTTGTTCAGAAGGAAGCTCTTTACCTAGTTCTCACAAAAGCTTCATTTGCCCCACAGACCTCACATACTGACCTCCCTTCTAATGGAAAAGAAGAAAGAAAGAAGACAAACACAGGACCACAGCCAAATGAAAGAGAAAGTATTTGTCTCCTGAGTTTCCATTCATCTTCCTGTGTCACCTAAACATCAGCTTTCTATGGGTACCACACCCCTACATCCTGATCCCAAGAAGCTGTCTGAGAAGTCCCCAGGTTTGCTTTCCTACTCACTTCCAAGCCAGGGAGGGTCCCAGTCCTGCCACAGGCTCACTGGTTGATTGTAAAGCAAACTCTCGGTTCCACACTCTGATTTTCCGAGCCCCTGCATGGAAAGTGGAGTCAAACAAATAGATGCACTTAAAACAGTTGGACAAATCTCAAGTACAACTTCCAATCATTTTCTTCTAAGTTGTTGCTTAGCAAGTAAGGATGATGGCCTCAAAGAACTCTTTGAATCTTATATTATTTGGCATCTATGGCAGCACAACTTTACTTATGTTGTACAAGTAATGTTCTACTCAAAGGGAAGAAAACTTTCCTAAAGTTTAATAAGGTAAAGAAATCCTTCAACTATAATTTATTTCCATACCTGTTTCTGGGCAAACAACACTCACAGCAAAAAACTGTCCATCCCCACGCCACGTAATTTGTGATTTATGGTCATCCCAGGGCAAGGCAGACTCGTGCTAAAGAAAGAGACATCATTATTACTGGGGAATCTTAAATGAGCCTGAACCCAACAAGCCTCAGCCATTAAATATGTATCTTTTATATGAGGTTGAAGCTATTCAGAATCCTCAGGAAACCTTCTAGAAGGGCACTTAGAGCAAAAAAGCAAGAACAATTTAAATACAAAAAAACAGACCTTTCTTTGGGCATTTAAGAGTACAGCAAATATAGATATTAACTATAATAAGCTGCTGGGTGTGGTGGTACACACCTTTAATCCCAGCACTCAGGAGGCAGAGACAGGTGGATCTCTGTGAGTTCAAGGCCAGCCTGATCTACTTAGTGAGTTCCAGGCCAGCTGGAGCTACAGGGAGACCCTCTCTCAAAAAGATAAAAAACAAACAAACAAACAAACTATAAGAGGCATATCAGGGAAATAATGCTCCATCTATCTAAACATAAATGCAGTTTTTTTTCATTGTGGTGTAAGCCTCACAACAGGACAGAGTAAGGTGTAGCATGGAAGGAAGATTTCCAGTACCACTTGCTTCTCAATGCAAAGCCATGAAGACAGCAGCCCCTGTGAAAGGACAAAGGACCACCTGAGCACTCCTCACAGTCCAGTGGCTGCTCCAATTCAAAATGCTATTAGCTTGACTCTGCAACAGACTAATCCTGACTATACCATAGTTTCCTAATAAACTGCCCATTGACATAGATAGAACACACACTTCCTCTAGTGAAAAGGTTAAGGGCTGAAATGAGTTAACAAGGAATGTACCAGCACAGAACGAAGGATACAAAACTGCAAACAAAGAGATGTACTTAAAACATTGCAACACATCTCAAGTACAACTTTTTATGAGCATAGTTCATAAAAATTTCTACCTATGATTATACTTCCAATTGTTCAGGCCTAAACCATGGCACATCTGCAATCCTTTCTCACCCCATATCTGATCTCTGCCTTCAAAATGTTTCCAAAGTCAAGCCACTTTTTACCACCTTCGGGTCTCTCTCTAGTCCACACAGGGTTCACTGAAAAGTGCTTCCCACATCCAACTGTGTTCCCCTCAATCCAGTGAACACAAGAGCCAAAGTGAGACAAGAACAAGTTAGAGCCTGCTGCTGTTGAAAACCCTCCAATGGCTCCCTGTGTGAGATGGAGTCAAAGCCAAGGCTGCAACTCTGGGCCTCAGTGTCCCCCGCCTCACCACTGCTCTCACTTCCTAGCCTTCCATGCGTGCTTCAGGGACATACTACCACACAGGTCTTCAAAGACAATACAGCTGACCTAACGGTGGTGTTACGGTGTTTAGTACTGGTGGTCCACTCTGCCTGAATGTTCCTCCTGGACACTGACCACCTCACTGGCTCAGTTCCTCCAGGTCCATAACCAAGCAGCACCTCCTTAGCAAGGCCATTCCTGACTTCCCATCTGCTGCTACCTGCTCTCCTTCCCTTCACAGCAACTTTAATTCCCTGAAATGTTATACATTAACATTAGCCTAGTGTCTGTGCCCTCCAACAGAAAGTACATGCCTCTACAGGGGATTTTTTTGTTTCCTATTATATATTCAATGCCTCAGAGTGCAGCATATATAGATGCTTAATAAACACTACTTCATGAATGAAAGATCAGTCATCCAAGAAAGCAGGAAAGCATAGAAAGCAACCTCTTGACTTTCAAGGAGCCAGCAAGGTGTACGCAGGGAAGAGCCTGAAAGACAAAGCAGCACAACCTAACACCAGACCACTCCCATGAGGAGCTGCGCTGACAAACCCATGGATTCCAAAATCTGTTTCCTGAAGAATGTCTAGGAACTTTCAAACCAAGATAAGGCCTTTAGAAAAAAAAAATCATCAACAAAATGCAGAGTAGTGTACTGGACAATATATGAGACTGCATACAGTATATCAGAATGTATTAGGTTTTGTCCCTATTGCCTGAACCATTTTATGTCATTAATAAAGCTTAAGTTTGACAACGTTAGATGATTCTTACACTAGCAAGTACCAGGAATAAAAGTTTTTCTCAAAATTAACAGAGCATGGAGAGCTGCCTTATTCTGCATATTGTTGTCAATTCCCTTACACTACTGGTTTAACAACTTTAATGGAATATAGTTTACACATACAAATGTGAGGCTGGAGATAACGGCTCAGTGGTTAAGAGCACTGACTGCTCTTGCAGAGGAACCTGGTTTGGTTCCCAGCACCCACATGGCAGCTTACAAGTGTCTGTAACTCTAGTTCCAGGGGATTCTATGCCCACTTCTGGTCTCACAGGCATTGCACACTCAAATACATGAAGGCAAAACATCCACACACATAAAATAAGGCAAATTTTTAAAAAAAAAAATACACAAATGTACAGAAATTACCTACTTGGTCAAATTCTTTTGGTTCTTCTGCAAATTACTTTTAAAACAGGCCAACTTAGAAATTTGTTTTCCTGAGCTAGACAATGATAGAACTTACAAAATAGTTATTTGAAATAAAACCTATGCTTTAAGTTTCAAAGGTTATTTGTGTGCTAAAATAGAGCAGCAACTATCACATGACTGGCTATTATGTGCTAGTGTGTGGTAGCTATTTCAAATATTACTGCCTACTATGTGCTAGTGTGTGGGAGCTGTTCCATATATTACTGCCTACTATGTGCTAGTATGTGGTAGCTATTCCATATATTACTGCCTACTATGTGCTAGTATGTGGTAGCTGTTCCATATACTACCGCCTACTATGTGCTAGTGTGTGGTAGATGTTCCATATATTACTGCCTCCAGATAGCAACATTGACATGAGAAACATCATTATGTCCACTTCACAAATGGTGACAAATGTTAGCAAAATTGTCACAGTCACAGTCACAAAATGTCTTGATGACACTGTAAGACATAGTTCTCTAACAGAGATAAATTTCCTCTGTACAGTACCATGGATAAACATGGCACATCTTCCTGTGGCATTTAATTTCCTCAAATCTGAATTTTTTAAACCTTCATCGTATATAAATTAAAATATAAAGCAATGTGAAAGCATGCACTGAAACACTTCTCCAGGTGCCCTGGGAGCATACTTGTGTTAACACTCCTGCCTTCAGGATCTCTCAACATTAAAAGGTTGAAACCCCTGTCTAGAATCTCTAAGACATCAAAATGTGATCTTCAGCATTTTCTAACTAGAAAGAAAAGAAACAAAGAGTTTCTTTCATAATAAAAAATAAGAAAAATACAACTTTTAAAAAATGGTACTGGGCTGGCAGGACAGTTCAGAGGGTAAAGGCAGCTGGACTAAGCCTAAAGACCTGAGTTTGATCCCCAGGACCCACATGGTGAGAGAGAGAACTGTTATAAATTGGCCTCTTGACTTCCACATATACACACATATGCTGCACCTACATACACAAAAAAAATAAATGATAGAAATGTAATTTTTTTTAAAAATGTTAAATGGTACTTTGTGGAGGAAAAGTCTGAAAACATATGGATGGTCAACAGTAAGTACAGGACAGAACCTCTCTCTGGAAAGGGAGAGGAAGGGCTCCATGGGGCCCTGCATTTCTCACAATGCTTTGCTCAGGTAGTCAATACTAGTTTGAATTTTTCTTTACACTGAAAAATGTCACAAAGCAACTTGACAACAAGAAATGTGAGTTTCTAGGATAACTCATTTCCTGAGAGCTCCAAACAGCTATGGTTTCATTACGACACGAAAGATCTTGCTATCACTGACCTTTAACCAGAGTTCTAAAGGATGGGCGAACTTAACATCTGTTCAATCAAAGTTTCTTATCTATTAAGCCCATCTTACCATTGGCATCTGAAAAGCTGCTTGCCTGCCTTCTGAGCCATGGAACTGTGTCTCCTTCTTGCCCCATCCAACAGTGATAAACTTGCCTAAACAGCAGTTTATTGAAAACAAGAAAGACAAGTAATAAGCGAAATGAAATCAAATAAAAGCAGTTTCACTGTACTGTAAATGAAGGCAGTCACTGACAATTATCTGGGCCCTAAGGCCTCTTAATAAATTGAGCAGCAGTCAATATTTTTGAAACTTAGGTTCTAAATAAATGCAGCAATGATTTTGGCATTAAGTCAAATGTCCTTATCTTGGAAATATGACACAAGTCAGAAATTTCATTAATGATTGTTCAGAATGAAATATGAAGAATTTATACAATCTGTCCATGAATAACAAAGCAAATAAGACAGTAAGAATGAATTTCTGATTTTCATTTTTAAATCAATCTAACCTTTCTGCTCTTAGAATGGACTACAGATCATCAAACATAGCTCCTCGGGTAGACTTAACTGTGACTCCCTTGTGAAAGTGTCCACAATTAGAACACAGTATTTTTGCTTCCTAAGCAGGGTTCTTTCTGTCACCAAAAGCAACCGTACTAGTAAACAAAACCACCGCAGAAGGCAAATCTAACCAAAATCTGTCCCATTTGATCCTGCACTTATGTCCTGGCACCCCAGCATCCTGCCTTACTCCCAAATCCCAGAATAAGCCTGGATGTTGCTATGAAACACCCCCCACGCACCAAGTCCCAGCCCTTGTCTATCAAACACAAGTTAACCGAGACTCAGCTCAGGTCAACCTCATTGTTCAGTGACTCCTTCTGAACTTCTCTTATACTATCCTACCTGTACATCAAGGTGTTACTGAATTTAGAATGCTTCTTAAGGAAAAAGCGAACTACTTAATCATTTTTCAACGATATAGCTGGTTTCAGAACAGTTATCCAAAGGTACTCCTAAACATACTTTTTAAAATTTTATATGTATGAGTGTATTGCCTGAATGTATGTAGGCGCACCCGGGTCGTGTAAAGTCCACAGAGGTCAGAAGAGGGCATTGGATCCCCTGGAACTGGAGTTACAGATGGTTGTTGGCCACCATGTGGGTACTGGGGAAAGAACCCAGGTCCTCTGCAAGAGCAGCAAGTGCTCTTAATCACTGAGCTGTTTCTCCAGCCCCTGGACATACTACATTTAAAGGACTAAATAAATTTTATCTTTCTAAATGATTTCTCAGAGTTGATGAAGTCAGACAGTATGGACTCAGACCTCAGCCACAGTTCAAATACTTCCTTCCAATAACTCTCTCCAATCAGGCCAGCTACCCAGGGGCTTCCAGTTTGCTCCTTACAGTCAATAAGCATTTCCTCCTGCCTCCCCTTCCAATACTCTCACAGCCTCAAAGGCCAAATAATCGGGTGGATCTTAGCAAAAAAAAATTTTTTTAATCTGACAGTCTAATGAAAACGGCGATCCAGATCTAGTTGGCAGGAATGACATACGGCCTGCTATTCCACGTTCTTGTTGGCTCCCCGAAATCATACTCCAGAAATGTTCTCCTCCTTTTGGCTTCAACAGCTCCTTTCAGTGTAACTCTGGCCTAAGTCTTTCTTAGGGTTTGGGTACTAACTATTTGGGAAACCTTAACCACAGGCGTTTATCCTTCAGACTACTAAGAAAGCCAACTCTTGGATCTTAATATAAGAGCTGTGTCTTCAAATGACAGAATGTATGAACTCTAGTGGGGGGTGGGTTATGGGAGGGTGCCAAAGGGAAAGGGGATATAAAGATGACTTTCTGTATGAAATACACAAAAATTCAATTAAAAAATTAAAAAAAAAAAAAGAGCTGTGTCTTTGAAGAACTGAGCTGGAGGGATAGATGTCTCAGCAGTTAAGAGCACTGGCTGCTCTTGCAGAGGACTCTGGTTCGATTCCCAGCATCCACATGGTGGCTAACAACCATCTATAACTCCAGTTCCGGGCATTCAAAGCCTTCTTCTGACCTCTGTGGGCATTGTAGGACACAAGTGCACTTACATACATATAGATAAAACACTCTTACACATAAAATAATTTAAAAAATAATAAATGAAATTTTAAAAAAAGAAAAAAGACCTGAGCTGGATTCTGGAAGTAGGCTATAGAACATCCTAGTGAGAATTTAAATTTTACAGTTCTTTGGGCCTATGACAAGTACTGCATATTAGAAAATGACCAAAACTGAGAACTCAAGGTCACAAAACATTTCAAAGTGATACTCACCTTCACCAAAATCATCCTGGTGTATCTGTTGCTCCATGATTGGTTCAAAGTCTCTTGTCATCATAATCAGGGTCTGTTGACCTGAGAGGACACAAATCAGAACAATTTTATTTTCAGGTAACGAATTTGTCAATCCATAATCGGCAGCTCATGACAGATACCACTCTACCAACACATAATTAGTGTTATGGCACTGTAAGCTACAGCGCCAGATAGCAAGAGTTACAGCTGGAAAAGGCTAGACAGAATGCATACATGCAAAATGCTTTGAGAAACAAGCTCTGACTAAGTGAGTCACTAGATGCTTACTCTTAGCTATTATTAGTGTAAAACAACATATGAAGTTCTCCTAGCCATTCTCTACTACTTTAAGCATTCCTAATTCCCAAGACATTTCTTCAGATACATACTGAATTCACTTGGAATAAAGCCTCTCAGAAATATGTAACAGGAATTCAAAAGGGCCGTAAAAAACTATTTACTGGGACAGCAAGATGGTTCAAGGAGCAAAGGCACTTTGCCACCAAGTCTGTCAACGTGAGTTTGATCCTTGGAATCCACATGGTGGCAAACTGACATCTACAAGTTCTCCTCTGACCGCCACACCAACGCCATGGCAACATGCACCCACTGGCTTATGGTTACTATCGAGGTCGCTAGGGAGCAAAGTGAGTCTAAGAGCAAAGCTCTTACAAGAGGCTCAGACGCCTGTGACAGCATCTCAAAGAACAGCAACAACACCAGGAAAGTGAATAATCAAGAGGAAAGCCACAATGTTGAGACTTAAAGGCTTAACAGGTTAAAATTCAACTGCGCACACACAAAGTAAACATTTTAAAAAAAGAATTTGTTTATATCAACCCTTGTTCATAGAGTGAGTTAAATACTGCTGACTTTTACTACTGCAACTGTGAACTCAGCACATTCTTCAGGTCTTAAAATGTCTTTCTAAGTCCCAAAGACTAAAAAAGCTGCACAAAACAACTTTGTATCGTGTTACAGAGGCAAGATTTAATACAGAAGAAATACATTAACTCTACATTATAATCTGTTCCAAGAAGCTTTTTGAAACTTGAGAACCCTCTAATGTGTTAGGAACAAGTTTTATAAAGGTCAGTTGGGCACCAATGAGAATCTTACCTGTAGCAAGAAGCACCAGTTCTTGGTCAGGACTCCAGCTCATGACAGAGATACCACTGGCCACACTCCCAACACATTCAAGCTGCACCAGAGAAAATTGAAAAGGGAAGTTCATGACATCACTGTCTCAGAGAAGATTTACTATGGACTTAATTAACACAATCAAAATATATACACACACAAAGGTAGAAGGGTACAAAAGACATGTCTTCAGTAACAGGTGTCAAGACACAAGACATGAGATTAACAGGCAATAGAAAAGTACATGCTATTCTTCCTCAGACTGTCTCATGAGTGAGATAAAATGATAGCTCTACAGGAGGTATAGGGTTACTATCAAGGTCTCTGGGAATTAAGTGCGTCTAAGAGCAAAGAAATAAAAGAGGCTCTGAGAGAGTCTGGGAAAGCTTCTCAAAGAATGGCAACAGGACCAGGAAAGAATGATTAGGAAGAAAACCACAGTGCTGAGGCTTAAAAGAGGGTAAAACTCAACTGCAGCTAAAGCTGAAGTACAGCAAACACAGGAATGACAGACAAAGGTGAAGGAATTTGGGGAACAGAAAAGAGGCTGGTCTGATCAGGCACAGAAGGGAGCACAGGCTCTGTCTTGCAGACAATGAGAAGCCACAGAAGGGGATCAGTAGCAGTCAACGGAGATAAATGGACTGGGCCTGGAATCAGGAAGAGTCTCTGCAACGCTTTGAAAATAAAAACCTAACTTTAAGTATGAGAAGTACTATATAATTTATACATGATTCACTTGTGACCATTTTTGCCATCAATGAGGTCAAGTTTATTAGGATTCAGTGGAAAAGAGTGAGGATGCCAAACTTAGGCTATGAGGACTGAAATTCCATCTGGTAACTGGGTGACCCAGACCTCATTACTTAAACTGTCTGAGCCTCAATTTCCTCTTCTAAGCATGCAGAACAAGCAACCTCACAAAACCATAGTGAATAAATAAAATTTTGCATTAAAGAATGTGAAAAAGTACTGGATACAATGTAAACATTTAGTAACTGTAAGTTGTAATTATCCCACTATTAGTAATACTGTAACTCCTTCACACAACCAGTGCTAGAGATCACAACTAATGGGGTAATCAAAGACTTTTTTTTTTTGTAGGTTTAGACATGGTTGGCCTGGAACTTTGTAGCCCAAGCTGGCCTTGGTTCATGATAACTGTTCTACCTCTGCCTCTGAGATTAGTCTTGAGAACTCCACAGTGCCCAGCCTCAAAGAAGAGTGTAAAAGATAAAACAATTCTAAATGCTTATAATTAGGAAGATAAGGATAGAAGCCCAGGACTCCAGTCTTAAACTAATGCAGAGAAAGCAAATGGTTGCAGTCTATTGCCCCGGGGAGTCTTAGAATATGCTTTCAGTGCATTACTATACACTGTAATTAGTGATACAGTTACACATACAAATCATTAATAAATAATATTAATATGCAGTAGTGTTAGTGCTTGTAGTCAGAGACTCAGAGGTTAGCCAATCAGCATCAATAACATATAAATATTTCAGACTTCCATAACTGAGAATTAGAAATTTCAACTCAAAATGAAATTCAGATTTGAGTACCTACACAAGAATAGTCAGGATTTTTCTTAAGTTCTAATTTAGAATGTCCCAACTACTCTGATTAACAGATATAGTAGACTAATCTGAGTTTTTGAAAAATTCTGAAATAAAGGTAGAACCATGTCAACCAATTTTTATAAAGAAATAAATATTGCAAAGACTTCACTTTGCAGATGCTTAAATATTATGACTATGGATTAGAATACTCCAAAACAAAACAAGTGGCTCAGCTGAGGCCATTTAAGACTTCCTCCTTACTGATCTCTTTTACCTACCTGGTGTGTGCTGAGATTGCACAGTATGACATCTCCAGAGGCAGTGGCAACACACACAGACTCCTGGTCCAACAAGTCTTGAATACCCACAATACAGCCATTTCCGTCCTCTGGAAGAAAGCCTTCTGCCACCAAAGGAATTTCATTCTTTACCTTCCACCAAAGTAAACATATGAGTAAATTAGCCCTGTCTACTGTGAAGAACTATCTTTTTCCAGAAATAATTCTAATGATTCTTTTATAACATAAAAGTCTCAAAATGAGTTTTCCATAGATTAAAATACAACTTTCATTTTAGAAATATTACAATCCTGTATCATCTTTAACTAGAAAAATAGCTAATGTGACCCTTTTACAAAACAAACGCAAAAACAAGAATGGTCTCTAAAACTTTCCAAAATGAAAAAAGAAGCAGGCAACTGTAGTGGCATATGCCTTTAAGCCCCACACACAGGAGGCAGAGGCAGGTAGAGTTCTGTGAGATCAAGGCCAGCCTGGTCTACACAGTGAGTTCCAGGCCAGCTAGGGAGACCATCTCAAAATAAAATGAAATAAAAACAAAAGCTAATGGCTGTGGCTTTATTCTTTTTTATTCTGCAGTGCTAGGGATTAAAATCAGGGCTCAATTGCTAAGCTACATGCCCAGTCCTGTAACTGTACTTCTCTAATCACCTAAATTAAAATATATAAGCAGGAACAAGGGAAGAGATCAGAATCAACCTACACAATTTCCAGAAACATACATGGTCAGTGCTAGCACACTAAATGTTCAGATTTTAGCTAATTTGGGGTAGAGGTCCAAATACACTTAAAAAACTCATTTGGGAGGGGTCGGAAGTGGGGGGATTTGAGTCCCAGCACCAAAAATTAAAAATAAAATTTAAAAGCTCCATGGACAATATTCATGTACATTCCTAATTGAGCCAAATATTTTAAAAGAAAACTCACAGTAAAAAGAGTAAAGTGCCCATATGAAATGTAAGTTCAGAGCTTTGCCAACTTAGTTTATAGCATTAGCAGAGTTTAAAGTACACTATTGTTATATCTAGTAAGCCATTAGAGAAAGCAAAGAGAAAGACTATTTAGGAAGATATAAATTCATTTGGACTACAGGAAGGCTATCTGGGAGAAGAAAGTCCAGATAAACACAAGGGCAGGGGCAAACCAAGTGTTCGCATCTCCATCAGGAACTTACTTCTCTTGTCGCAGGATCTACTTCTATCAGTCCATATTCTGAGCCAATGAGCACTGTTCTCTGTTCAGTTCGGAGAGAGAAACACTGAGGTCTCCCTGGTGCTTGAATGTCCCTGAACTCCAGGGTCCGAAGCAACTTTAGATTTCGCATGATGCAGCAATTTCTGAGGAGAAAACAATACAATTTTTACCATGATGAAACATCATGCCTAAAAGAGAAAGGAACACCTTAACAATAATAAATGACCACACTCATATAAAATGATTCAGAGAGTAAAGAAGTGATCATTAGAATACCTGGGAGTAAGAGGGGCTATTTCTCTGAACACACACATGTAGGTAATCATGCTGCCACCAACTAAAGGCCCTAGCTCTCCAGGGGTACGCTGGGAATTAATACAATGCATCAACTCTGGAGACAATTCAAACCATAACCACAGCATCTGCAGCTGCCATGACCCATTCTTCATCATGTTTCATATCCCTCCCTAGAAACCTGGATTCTATTTATCAGCCAACTGTGCTGCCCTTGGGTGCACAGAATCCACGATAAGACAGTTGGTAGAGGCAAAATAAGAGGACTCACTTCCATTATCTTGCTGTAACTGACCACCATTACAGGAACCCTCAGTCCCAGTCTCCCAGTGTTCCCAAGGCCGCGCCCCCAACTGTGTCGCCCGACTGTCCGTCCCCCCCATTTTGTCCCCCGACTGGTCACCTGCAACGCTCTCGTCTCAGTCCGCGGCTCTCGAGCCCTCACCACGCACTAGGCCTTGACGGCCACCGCCACTACAACCCTATAGACAAGGGAACAGGGACACACGCTGCCGACGGGAGAAACGCGCCAGCAAAACTCTCCAACCAGGCGTCGCTCGAGTGATGTCACCAGCGCAGGGGGCGGGGCCTACCGGGCCACCTCCTCCGTCGCGCGCAGTGGCTTCTCTTTAGCCCAGCAATGTAGAGGCGCTAGAGCCGCGCTGGCTGTCGTCTCCTGTCCCTCAGCCCTCAACCAGTTGTATTTGTTCCCCCATTGGCGTGGGACCCCAAAGCGCGGTGACTGGTGGCAGAGGGAGGAGCCCGAGGGTTGAGGAGCAGCGCGCCTGCGCACAACGCTTCCCGCACCGGAAGTGCACGCCCCTCCGGGACTCGCTGGAAGGAAGAGCGCTGGTCCCTTGGTCGGGGAGGGGGGCGGGGGGCGGGGTGGGGAGGCAGCACAGGAGGTAGTCATGGCTACGGAACCCGGGGCCGCGCTGCCGGTAGTGCGGTCGCTTGTGGATCGGTATTTCACTCGCTGGTACAAAGCGGGTAAGTGCGGAACGAAGGCGAGCTCTGCCTGGCCGCAGTGGTCCGGGGACGGCGGCGACAGGGCGTAAGCCATGTCTGCTGTCCGCAGCTAACTCCGAGCTTCAGCAGACAGCGAGCCTCGGCTCTCCAGGCCCTGGAGTTCAAGACTGCAGCGTTGTAGAACTGAAATACTTTAGGGCGCACCGCGCGGATGGGGGGCGCAGTGCGGTGCGTGGGTACCCTGAAGGACCGAGGCCGCAGAGCTAGGCTGTCTGGGTTTAGATTGCTAAAGTCCCTGAGTGCCTGGAAGGGTTTAAAGAGTTTAATCCCAATCCCACGGAGTAGCTAGTTATTTTTAGAAGATCAGACCGAGTCTAAAGAAGCCTTAGGAGTGGAGAGAAGCGAGGACTTTGGCATAGAGAATTTTAGGAAGCAGAATCTAGTTTTACTTGAGAAAGCTCTCCTATTGTCTATTTGCTATTTCAGTAGGCATCCCTGATGTACTATTTTGTGTACCTCTTCGTTCAGGAAAACGTGAGTTCACACACACACACACACACACACACACACACACACACAGCCAAGTTTAGGGTAAGAAACCTCCCAGTAATAGAAATAATGCGTGTACTTAAAGTGACAAGCAGGGGGGAGCAAGGAGTTAATCACTTTTAACTACCTTCATTGAGTAAACGATGTGTTAGGTCCATTTAACACTTCATAGAAAACCTTTATTTATTAATACAGATACACCAGTGATCAGCATGAGTCCCAGCTTCCTAATTAACTACCTTACTGAACCAAAGAAAGTACTACTTAGTCATAGTAAATATCGATTCAGCAATCAACAACTAACTGGTTTATTTCTCTAGATGTCAAAGGAAAACCCTGTGAGGACCACTGTATACTACAGCACTCTAACCGGTAAGCAGGAATTTTAAATTACCAGAACTTTTTCTTATGGCATTTAGCCTGGATTGGGCGAAATTGATTAAACAAACATTCATGAAATTATCTTCCACTATGTTGAAATGATATAGGAGTTATTTGGCAGGAAGGAGACTTGCTCAGTGATCTACTGCTTAGCGAACCTGTGCCTTAACCACTGAACTGCCAGAACCCATGGAAAGGCCCGCTGTGGACGCATATGTGGAATCCTGTATACACAGGCACACCTCACTTCCCACTCTTCTGCCCCAGGGCTACCCAAAGATTTCTGGTACTCTTCTCTTTCCTGCTTTCTCCTCTTCTGTTACTGAACTATGCTACACTTAGGTTTCTATAGCAGGCAAAGGAAAAAGATGATAACTTGACTAAAGGAAGGCCAGTTCAATAGTCTTGTGCCAGTAGGAACCCTCTGTTAGAGGAGGAAGTCTCCTTCCATGCAGTTAACACAAGCTTGACCTTTTTGTCCTTCTAGAATATGTGTCATCACCCTGGCAGGATCTCATCCTGTTCTTCAAAGTGGAAAAACAATTGAAAGTATTTCCTATCAGATCAGTACCAACTGTAGCAGACTTCAGAACAAAGTCTCTGGGAAATTTAAGCGGGTATGTTCTTGTAATTCTGTGATTATCTACTAGAATCGTTTATACTCATAGATATAATGGATCCAGTCAGACATCAGCTATTTCTCTGGAAGTTCAGGGTGCTTATTTTAAATAAAATCAACTAGCAAACAAAAACCCCAAAGAAGTATTTTTGGAGGTTTAGTACCTATCATAGTAGATTCTGTGCTGCCGTCTTTATTATCCCTAAATGGATGAAATGAAAGATGGGCCTTTAAAAGGACAATTCTTGAAGTGCATGGTGCTGCATGCCTTTAATCCCAGCACTTGGGTGGCAGAGGCAGATAGATCTCTGTAAGATCGAGGCCAGCCTGGTCTATATAGTAAGTTCCAGGCCAGCTAGGGCTTCAGGGAGATGCTGTCTCAAAAAGACCGAAAAAGGACAATTCTCATACCAGTATAATAAGACATATTGCCTCTGGTGGATTTACTAAACCATTATCTGTAAAATTTAAAGTGACAGTTATTTTACCATGTATTTTCACATGTAAATTAAAAAAATAAAAAATGATCAATCTTAGAAAATAGAATAGGATGCTTGCTCCTTACAATTTTTCCATTAGTAAAACACTGGCAAACTGATATACATTAACCACATCCTTCCGTACAACCCTGTTACACAGAATATTCTGTTCAACTCTAGACAAGATGGACATGCTATTAAAGAGGGTATCACATGAAGGGTGATTTTGACAGATCCATTGAGTTGAGGAAATTTGTATGGATGACTTAGGTCATATCTCTTGAGTTCATGCTGAGAGTTTGTTTTGGTTACTGCTGCAGGAGCTCCCCAAAACATGTCTTATAATTACCAATGTAGGGGCTGGAGAGATGACTCAGAAGTTAAGAGAGCACTGGTTTCTGTTGCAGAGGACCTGGGTTCGTTTCCCAACACCTGCATGGCAGCTAACCACTGGCTGTAACTCCAGTTCCAGGGGATCTAAGGCCCTCTTCTGGCTTCCATGGGCATTACATGAGAAGGGTGTACTTACATATACATGCAGGCAGAACACTTATTCACATAAAAAAATTTAAAATTGCTGTGTCCTTACTTAGCAAACAAATGGATTTAGAAAAGTATGCACCCTTTTTAAAGATTATGTGTGTATATTATAGTAAGTTAATGCCTGTGAATCTCTTGTGATAAACCAGTATCTAAAATAGTAATGCTGAGGCTGGAGAGATGGCATGGGTTAAAAGCACTTGCTGCTCTTGCACAGGACCTGGGTTCGGTTCCCATCACCCATATCATTTAACTCACAACTGCCTGTAACTCCAGTTCTGGGAGATCCAGTCCCCTCTTCTGGCCTCCTTGGCCCACTAACACATTTACCCCTACACACCCAAAAATACCAAGTCTTTGAAAACAATAGAATGGTAAACCTGCCATTACTAAAGAAGAACAAAGAGGGACCTGCTCATTGAATGCACTACGGCTAAGTTTTGGTTGATTCTCCAGACTGCCAATTATTCTCCTAAGGAATGTTATAAAGAAATGAGATGCTTCTTCTAGTCCATCAAAGACCAAGTTATAGACAGATTCTCCAAAACAAATCCCACATGCTTCCTTCCTTCTGGGAGTCACAGTGATGTCAGTAATCTTAAAGGAACTGCTCACATGCAGAAGAGTGAAGCTGATGCATCTGGTAACTAGACAGTAAATACAGAGGTCATAAGGATCATCACTGGATGTATGGTACACACCTGTAATCCCAACTGCCAGGAGGCTGAGGCAGGAGAATTACAAGTTTGAAGTCAGAGTGGGCTATATAGTGAATACCAGGCTAGCCAGGACAATGTAACTAAACTGTCTCAAAAAAAAAAAAAAAAATCTTTAGCTGCTTGTGCTTACCATAGGAAATGTTATTCATGGAAAAGAAGAGAATGACACTAGACAGGTTCCCAGGATTCTCCTTGTAGGTATTTGTCAAAACCACCCCAGAATTGTTATCCCCTGTCCAGAGTACCTAAAATAGTAGTAACATGCAGGTAGATAGTGTATCAAAGTGTGGTACTGATAGTTACAGGACAGGATAAATCTTATTTTGCTACTTAAAATGTTTTTTGTTTCATTTTTCCAAATTTTCCTCAGAGGGTATGTTTTTTAGTCTTGTATTTTTTTTATTAGAAAAATATTCCTTCTTCAAAAAGTCTTAGTGATTGACCATGTAAAGAAGTCTTTTATCTGTTAATTCCTTTTTTCTTCCTTAATTTTATGTGTATGAGGGTATTGTCTGCATGTATGTAAGTGCATCCATGTCGTGCAATGCCTGCGGCTGTCAGAAGAGGGTGTCAGCTCCTGGAACTGGAGTTACAGACAGTTGTTAGCCAGCATGTGGGTGCTAGGAATCAAACCCGGGTCCTCTCCAAAAGCAGCCAGTGCTCTTAACCACTGAGCCACCTCTCTAGTCCCTGTCTTATTGATTTCTAATATAAAAGATAGCAATTGTAATGAAACAAACTTTACAATATTTTTGTCATGCCCTGTCATGTTGAGTTTATATTGCCTGTTGTGGATTTTCCTGCATGTTAAAATCTTTACATACCTGAACATATGTAGCTTTCTCATTTACAGTTTTAAAAAGCATTATTAGTCTATTACAAAATTAATTACTATCACCTTTGTCTCGGTGAGGGGTTTAACCTAAAGTCTAGGATGGTATCTAGTACACAGTAGGTTCTTATTATAAATGTTATGTACTTAAGTCATTTTTCTTTTTGTAAACTTTTTATTGAGTTCTTGTGTATTTCATACACAACATAATTTTAATCATCTTTATACCCCCTTCCCCATTGGCACTCCTTCCACACTGGAATTCATACATTCTGTCATTTGTGTTAAGGCCTATTATGTCAAGTTAGTGTCCCCAGGTGTCCCTCAGTGCGAGTTCATCCACTGGGGTCTAGGCAGCCTATGTAGAGTCCCTCTCTTTAAGATCAGCTCTTCCTCACCCAGCAGCTGCAATAATTCTTTGACTAAGATTGGGGCCTGCTGCCCACTTCCACTGTTTGGTGCTGGGGTTTTTGTGCTGGGGTTTTGTCTCCTTGAATCTCATCATTTTTAGGGTGAGTTGGCATGACTGCTAGGGGACTGAGAAATCTGGAGCAGGTGTTCTTTCTTTTGTACCAGGAAGAGCTTTATGGAGTTGCAAGGGAGAACCCTGCCATTTTCAGGGATGTTGAATATATAAAATATGGACTTTGAAATCAGAAAATCTCAGGCTGAAACTTTATCATTTGTTAGCAAGAACAGTGATGATAATGATAACTGTGATGCTGATTTCCATACACTTTTGAATATAGATTTTTTGTGTGGTTTTTTGGGGGGGGGTGTTCTACAAATTACCACCATGTGACAGTCCCCCAGAAGGCACTGGTAATTTATTTGTGATAATAATAACACCTGAAAATATGTCAAATGGTGTCAGAAACACCAGACACATGAGCTTATCAGTCACAACAGAGGAAACCCCCTCAGCTGGGCCATAAAAGGAGCACCTCAACACAGGCATGTAAAACACACTGACCTGTCACTAGATTCTAAGAAATAAATGATTATGGTCCATTTTCAGTATGAGATGTGTTTAGAACTCATCAGAGAATCACAGATAAGCAGGAGGCACTAGTCTCCTATCTTCCCAACTGGCAGCAGGATCTGCTTGTCTAGATGCTCTCAGTTCATCCACCATGCAGAGGCTGGATCCAGGCATTCTCAGGTCTGCTGAGGTCTGGGCCCCTACTGTAGGTCAGAGAGGTCTAGCCCTGGCCTTAAATCATTTTGATGTAAAACACCAGTTCCAAGGCTAGATCCTGTTTTAAGTATGAGGACTGCTGCTCTAAGGCAAGAAGAAATAAATACACATCAATTAATTTGCTTCTTTTCATTACCCAGGGGGCACAGTTTCTAACAGAACTTGCACCTCTGTGTAAGATTTACTGCTCTGATGGAGAAGAATATACCATATCTAGGTAGGTAATGTTTCAACCACTATTTGGGGGATAATATCTTAATACCAAATGCTTATTTTCAGAAAAAAATTACTACTAGAAAATAAATTTTTTAATTGTTTTAAATAGCTGTGTTAGAGGACGACTGATGGAAGTAAATGAAAACATTCTCCATAAGCCATCTATTCTTCAAGAAAAGGTAGGAGAGAGGGGAGGGGAGGAAAATTACAGTCCTAGTTGCAAACCTTTTCAAAATCATTTGACAATACTCACTGTGTCCTGGATTTTTTTCCAGCCATCCACTGAAGGCTACATTGCAGTTATATTACCCAAATTTGAAGAAAGTAAAAGCATAACAGAAGGGTTGCTGACGCAGAAACAGTATGAAGAAGTTGTGGTAAAGCGCAGTAGTGCCACAACAGCTGCATCCTGAGCAGAGCTGGACTGAAGAGCAACATGAGATTCTTAGCCCTGCCTAGCCTGAGCCATCAGTGCACTGGAAGAGAATCTGTGTGTGTGAGGCATTCTTCATACCCTGTACCCAGCAGAAAGAGGCCTGCCCAGATTCACCTACCCAGATTTTCTCCCTTTTCTTAACCTAAGAAACCTTGATCCCCATTTGTCTTCAAGCTCCCAGATCTGCTCTGCCCAGATACTCGCTCTGTTCTTTTGTGGTTCTGTGTGTATATGTGTGCATCCCCCAACCGTGTTTGTGGATGTCCCTGTGGGCATGGGTGCTGTGGGTGTGCATATGCACATGAGGTCAGAGAAAACTTTGGGTTTCAATCCTCAGGCACCTTTGACTTTTTTTTGAGACAGGCTTTCTCATTGGCCTGGAACATTGTCATATGGGCCAGCAACCCACAGACTTCCAAGGAGTCTCCTGTCCTCTTGCAGTGTTGTGGTTGCAGGTACACACCCCTGCACCCACCTTTTAATGTGGGCCTGGGGATCTAAACTCAGGTCTTTGTGGTTGTGAGGCTAACCTTTACTGACTGAGCTGTTTCCCCAGCCTTGCTCTGTTCTTCTCTTGCTTGTAACAAATGGCAAAGAATATTTTTCCTGATTTAAAAAAGAAAAAAAAAAACAAGCAAAGCTCTTGGAAAAAAAGTTGGAAAAGAGAGAAGTTTTAAGTAGTCAAGTAATTTACACATCATCCCCCCAACTTGAAAGTACATACTGCATGTTGACATACTTCCATTTGAATGCTATGGCCTCAGTTTCTTTCTTTTTTTTTCTTTTTTACAATTTGGCATTTTGAAAACAAGCTAATTTACCTTCCTTCCTAACTCTGCTTCAGAATGCCACTTCCAAAAAGTTCTTTTAAAACTTCTCTCTTTAGGTTGTTGGGAAGAGGCAGGAATGTAGACCCTGCCTACTCTTCATTATACCCATGGAATAACTTTCCCCATGCTACCAGAACTGGAACACTGACTCTTCATGAGAAGCACGTAGCAAGGCTTTGGGAAAAACGAAAAGGGCTTCCTAGCAATTGGAAGAATTGTCATTGCAGTGTTAAGCTGGTTCTTGCAAATATGGTGACTCCATCTCACACATTTTAGTTACAGCTAAGTTGTAGTAATGAAGTTACTAGGAATCTGTCATTCAGTGGTACAGGTGCCTTGAAATAGAACAAAAAATAGCTTTGAAGTTCTGGTTTCAAATTAGATATTTAATCAACAATGAATTTGAAATAAAAGGACTTGAAATCTTTATTTTTGTTAAGAGCTAAAACACACACGTGGACTCAGTATCCATGTTCTCCCATTGCACTTCTGTTCTCTTTTAAGGTGTGTAAAATTTAAGTGAAAAAAATTTTTTTAGTTCACATTAAAAACTTAAGACCATCGGGCATGGTGGTGCACGCCTTTAATCCCAGCACTCGGGAGGTAGAGGCAGGCAGATCTCTGTGAGTTCAAGGCTGGCCTGGTCTATAAAGTGAGTTCCAGGACAGCTGGAGCTACAGGGAGACCCTGTCTCAAAAAGACTTAAAACAAAAAAAAAAAAAGAAAGAAACTTAGGACCTGAGTGTCTGCACGACCATCCCCTATACGACGTAGACCATAGCTCTAAGTATCTTCAGTGAGAGTGCTGAGCTGAGAATGTCATGGTTAGCTTCAGTTGTCAGCCTGATACACCTGGAAAGAGGAAACCAGTTGGGGAATTAATTACCTTTTGGATTGGTCTATACATATGTCTGGGAGGCATTTTCTCTCTTGTTCAGTGATATGGGAGGGCCTAGCCCACTGTGGGTGGTGCCACCCCTGGGCATGTGTTCCTGGCTTATATTAAGAAAGCAGGCTGAGCACAGGCCAGGGGAGCAAACAGTAAGCAGTGTTCCTCCCTGTGTTTCCGTTCCTGCCCTGATTTCCCATGATGTTGGATTGTGACTTGGCCTGAGAGTTGTAAGATGAAATACTGTGACAGTGAAAGAACTGGGCCTATTTTACATGTTCTATCTTTCACCAGTTTTGTTGTTGTTTGGTCTTTTTGAGACAGGGTCTCTCTGTAGCCCCAGCTGTCCTGGAACTCACTATGTAGACCAGGCTGGCCTTGAGATCCACCTGCCTCTGCCTGCAGGCGTGCACCACCACGCCCAGCTTCACCCAGTATTTTTGTTACAATTTAAAAGAATGTTTTGGTTTCACAGAATAAAAACTATTCTTTGTTTTTTGCCTGTTTACAGAAATACTTTAAATACATACATGGAAAATTCCACATGTAGTAAGGAAAAGGTGTCTTAATTTCATCACTGATCAGCATGGCTTTTTCCCCAGATTGGGTAATGGATCAAAACGAAGCCTGCTGATGTGAATTCAGTTGCCAAACTTGTTTCTGTTTGCTCTTTTTGAGACAGGGTCGCACTATGGAGACCAGGCTGGCCTCAATCTCACAGAGATCTGCCTGCTGCCTCCCAAGTGCTGGGACTAAAGGTATGCGCCACCACACCTAGCTTGTTTTTGATTATAAAAGTTTTTCATATAATGCCAGTGTAGGAAAAAATACTTTGTAGAAGTCATTAACTAAGCTGAGTGTCCTGTGTTCTCCTGAAGGCTACAGTAGAAATTTTCTTCAGTAAAATATTGAGTAACTGGTAGTCCAGTCGTTTCTTGGGGATCTCTGTTAAAGACTGTGTTGCTTATAACCCAGACAGATCATTAGAGCAGCTTCCAGCTACTGCCACGACTAATTTCAAAGTTAATTTTTAAAAGTATTGGGATACAGAAACTATAACATGATTCCATAACAAAGGTAACCAACCACACTATATCATAAGAAAACATAGAAAACAAAACTCCGTCCCATAAAAACAAGAAAAGGATTGTTTTGTACATGTATGTGCAAGTGTGTAGAGGCCAGACCTTGGGTGTTGAGTTCAGGCACCTAACAGCTTTTGGGTTTTTAGTAAGACAAAGTCTCTCACGGACCTGGAGCTCACCAAGTAGGCTATGCTGGCTACGCACCACACTCTGGGGATCCACCTGTCTCCACCTCCCCAGCACTGTGATTACAAGCACATAACATTGTGCCCAGCGTTTCTTAACCTTAGTTTTGGGGATTGAATTCAGGTACTCATGTTTGCAAGATAAGCACATTATCAGCTGGGTCATTTCCTCAGCCCAAGAAAAGGTTTAAATCCTAAAGTTGAAAAGGCTAAAGATATTTATTTATAACAAACATTTCAATGCCACATACATAAGATACAATGCATGAATATCTGGAATATTCATGTTTCTTGGTTCCAATGTTCTGTCTTCTGTATCTGCCATTCTATCAATACTGAGAAGGATAGTTTAAAACTGTCTTTAAACCAGTAAGAAACACTTAGGCTTCCAGCCATATTCAGGCCACCTGGTCAACTCTACATACTACCAGAATAAAGAGAGGAAATTGCCTGAAGCTGCTCCAGGCTTCTGTGGAGGGAGTTCCCTGTTTTCCTTTTGGAGGGAGAGGGACAGACAAAGCCTAACAACCCTGCTATGTGA